CTGTTTTCATTCTGAGTGCTGGCTAACACTGGTTTTACTGTAGACTGAGTTGTTCCTTTTATTTACTAGTTTAGTGGTTGGAGGCCTGGGAGAAGACAGGAGGGAGGGGATGGGTGGCAGTGGGGAAGCAACTGGACAGCTTCTGACTCTTCCACTTTGGTGTCATCATGGCTAAACAGCCCACTATCACACTCATGGCAAGCCTAGGCTCTAGGTGACTCTTGGAACCATGCTTACTACACCTGACCATGCCAGCAACTTCTCTGGGGCTCATTTAACAAAGCAGCACGTGGGGCTGGAGAGATGACTCAGTGGTGCTGCACCTGCAGAGGACCCAAATTCAGTTCACAGCACCTGCAATCAGTGGCTTACAATAGCCTGTTAACTCCAGCTCCGGGGAATCTGAAACCTTCTTGCCTCTTCGGTGCTCACATGCACATTATGCACACCCTCATGAATAATTAAATAATGAATTAGATTTATTTTATTCCAGTTGCATCATGTATGTGCGTGCCTTAGTCAGAGGCACTATTGCTGTGATGAAACACCAAACGCAACCGGGGGAGGAAAGGGTTTGTTTCACATACAGTTCATCATCAAAAGCAATGAGGGCAGGGCCTCAAGCAGGGCAGGAACCTGGAGGTGGGAGCTGATGCAGAAGCCATGGAGGAATGCTGCTCACTGACTTGCTCCACATGGCTTGCTCAGTCTGCTTTGTTATAGAATCCAGGACTGCCAGTGTGTGTGGCCCCACCCACAATGGGCTGGGCACTCCCCCATCAATCACAAATTAAGAAAATGCCCTACAAGTTTACCCACAGCCCATTTTTATGGAGACATTTTCTCATTTGAGGTTCTCTCCTCTTGGGTGGCTTTATCTTTTATTAAATTGTCGTTAAACTAGCCAGCATAGTGTGCTACATGTGTGCAGACCTTCAGAGGCCAAAGGGGGATGTGGGCATTGGACACCCATCTCCTGCTAACCTGGAGTTACTGGTGGTTGTGAGACACCCAACATGGATACTAGAATCCGAACTCTGGTTCTTTGGAAGGGCAGCATGTTCTTAACCACTGAACCATCTCTCCAGTACTCCAAGTGTTATTTTATTTATTTGTTTGTGTGACTGAGACTGTGCCTGTGCCTGTGTCTATGCGTGTGTATGTACAGGTGAGTGCTGGTGCCCACAGAGGCCAGAAGAGGGCAGCAAATGTCCTGGAGCCAGAGGTACAGGCTGTTGCCGGCCACCCAGTGTGAGTGCTGGGAACCAAATTCAAATCCTCTTCAGGAGCTAAACCGTTTGTCCAGCCCCAATATCTGACTTTTACGTGGACGCTGGGGATCTTCATTCAGGTTCTCATGTTCACACAGAAACACTTTACAGACACATCCTTTAAAGTAAAAGAAAACAGAACGCAGCATGTGTTGTGCACATGGCAGGGGGTGCTGAGAGTTTGAATTACTTTTTACTAGTGCTGGGGAACAAATCAGGTCAAGTATTCTACTACTGAGATGAATCCCCAGAAGCCTGCATTCTGGACCTTGGTGCTGAGCAGCAACTGCAGACAGAGCTGTGATAGCTCTCTGGGGAAGCAGGTTTGGTTCTGATACATGCTCCTGCCATTTTCTGTGGGAAATGGCTCTTTCCACAAAGCAACTCTTCCCACTCCCCTCTTCTCTCTCTTTCTCACCCTCAACCCAGTCTGTGGACATAGGAGCCTCTCTTCTTCAGGAGGTGCCCCTCCCCTCCCATATCTTGTTCCTTTTCCTGCTGTGAGGAAGAAGCCTGCTACTTTCCCAGCCTGCAGGGTGGGGACCTGAGGTGGGGACACAGGCAGCTAGTAGGATCCTGGCGTCGCTGGTAGTGGCAGAAGGGAAATCTACTCAACACCCCAGTACATAGCTGTTAATGAAACCCTCAGCTCCCTCAGATAAGAGAGGTAGATGGTCTCTGTTTGTAGGAAGCCATCACCTTGGGGAAAGTGATGAGTGACAGTGCACAGAAGCTGCAATCCCCAGGATTATGGGTCTAGGTTTGGGCTGAGATGCTTTCTGGAGTTCTGCAGAGTGACTCTCCTGAGCAAAGTGGGAGAGGATGAGGGATGGTGTGCCAAGTGGAGGAGATACAAAGATCCTTAAGTGCAGGAGAGAGGAGGGGAAGGGGGAGGATGAGAGTTCTGCATAATTAGGGTTTATCTGGTGGGAGGTAATTAAACTGTGGGGATGGAGATGTGGGCATTTGCCACCTTAGGACATTTTGTGTCTGTGTGCCCAGCCAAGGGTGTCCTGTTAGTAATGGGACAAAGTCTACCGGACCTTTTGGATGGCTTGCTAATGCATTTAAGTACCTACGTACCACCTAAGGCCAGCCATGTTCTCCCTGAGTGATCCTCTCTCACCAACTGTTCCCAGCCTTCAGGAAGGTCCCTGGCCTTTCTGTCTCTAGGCTGTATCTTGGGATCCTCGGGAGGTAACATCCTTCCGAACCTTCACCAGTGCAACTTGCTCCTTCCATGGAGCCTTTCCTGCTTTCACTTCTTCTCCAAGGCTTGGGGTATCAAGCGCATCTCCAGCCAGCCAGCTTCCCGGCTGCATCTAGACAGGGGCAAGGGGCTTGCCTAATGCCTCTACATTTGGTTACCTAGGGGTCTGGTGATGGTATCAGAAGCAACCAAAGGTCCTCAGGTTCCACTCTGCTCACATGTTGCTTCTATTTTCTTTGGCTCCAACTGGGAATGGTAGTCATCTGCCAAAAGCCTCTCTACAATTTTCTCAGATGTCTTTGTTACTGACTGGCTGGCTCTTGTTGGCACAGTTATCTGATCGTCTACACTGATAAAGAAAAATGTGTATCAGTTTGAAAAATAAAAATGTGCTTCACATTATCTTCTAAACAAGCCAAGCAATATAAAACTACTTGCTAGAGTTATTATAATGTGTTTTATTTACAAAATAGTAATTCCCAAATCACATACAAATTTTGATATTTTTCTGTGGAAGTCTTTTATTTGACATGGGGGGTATCCCTGCCTCTCTCTTAGCCACTGTTTGATATTGAAAACTGTTTCAGTTAATCCCTTGCTAAAGTAAGGGTATGAAAAAAAAAAAGGACAATTTTCGAATGAGGATGGCAGGGTATGGTAATGCATACCTTTAATCCCAGCACTCGGGAGGCAGAGACAGGCAGATCTCTGTGAGTCAAGGCCAGCCTGGTCTACAAAGTGAATCCAGGACAGCCAGACTATTACATAGAGAGACCCTGTCTTGAAAAACAAAAACAAACGAATGAACGAACAAAAACAAAAAAACAAAAACAAAACCATCCGATCCACCATTCATCTGGCCTTGTCCACCTTCCCACGTCCCTCTTGCAAGGCGACATGTTATATGCTCAGACGTCCTCAAGTCTTCAAACCCTGGTCACTACCTCTGCCCAGACTGTAAAGGCCTCTTCCTTGTCCTACATGACTCCTAGGTGAACTCTGGTATCCCCACCCAGCCCATTGACCTTCCTGATGATTCTAGCTCACAATAATTCCTCTCTATTTAAAGAATCATGCTACGCCCCTCCCTGGGCATGCCCTGGCATATTTTCCTGTTTCATGTTGCTTTTTGTGCATGGTGTCTGGCATAGTTCAAATGTGATTGCTTCCTGATGCTAAAGTTTCTCCCCCTTTTCTCTTCCCTCTCCTTCCTTTCTTTCCTTGAGACTAGGGTTTTTAAAAACTTATTATTAGAGAGAGAGAGAGAGAGAGAGAGAGAGAGAGAGAGAAAGAGAGTGACAGTATATGTGTAGAGGTCAGGAGTTAGCTCTCTTCTTTCACCATTGTTTTGTGAATCAAACTTAGGTCACCAGGTAAGTACTTTTATCCACTCATGGCCCTAAAACGGGACCAAGCAACTCCCAGAAGGATCCAAAGAAAAAAGAAGCAACACATGACCAGAGTGGGCCCTGGGAACTTTTTGTTGCTCCTGACACAGCCGCCAGGAACCCACCAGGAAGACGTGTAGAGGCAACTGTAGGTAAACAGTCTACTACACCCCGCTTTCCGACTCACAATCTTCCTGCCTCATCCTCTCTGATGCTGGGATTACAGATGTGAGCCATCATACTCAGTGACGACATTTCCTTAAATCTTGGGTCATGTATTCTCTATGTATTGTGTACATATTCTATCCAGGGCTGGATCATCTCATTAACTGTTAACTGCCAGCTTAATACTAACGTGGTGCCAGCTCCCTTAAGTGGGTTGCATACACTCGTATTCACACTCTATTGCCTACACTAGGGGCACAGGTTTTGTTTTTTTTTTAAACGCCAATGTGTAAGTCTCAGTAGCTTTCTAGACAGTATCAAGAAAAGACCTTCCATGATGGTGGACATGTTTTATACCCATGCAGTCCACAATGGTGGTCACTAGGCTCCTGTGGCAGTGGAGCATCTGCAGTATGGCCAATACAGATAAGAAACTATATTTCAAATTTTTCTTAAATTAATTAAATGTCAGTATCCACAAGCGGTTTAGGGCAGCCCACTCTTCTCTTTCATGCCTCTCCTGAGCCCATTCTACCTAACCCTTGTCTGGAGCTCAGGTTGAACTTATCTATCTCTGTACCCATGCCCCTCTCAGGCATGAAGTTTGCCCTCTGGTCAGAATCTGAGAGGAGGAACAGTTGGTCTGCTAGCCCTCGCTCTGATGCCTTCTCCAGATTCCCCAGGAGGAAGAGTGGGGCTGAGAGCTTCCTGATAACTTAGGGACATGAGGATGAGGCAAGTGCTCTTGCCTGGTCACATGAATGGCATCTTCTCTGCCAGTGGACCCTTCCATCTGCTCTTGGCAGTACTACTGTGGGATGGGAGGAAGGTGGGATTCTGATATGTAAGCAGCTCTTAGGAACAAGACCCAGAAGGAAGTGCTGCCTTGTTTTCTCTGGACAACTGGTTTAACATGAAACCCACTGTGCCATAAAATGAAACAAGCACACACGACAATGACATCCTTTGTATGTTTAATATGGTACATCAAGAATTGTCCAAACCAGAGCTGATGTCCTTGGCTCTGCACATACCCCTTCCTAGTGGTCCAAAGGACATCCTCTAATATAATACTCAAGATGACTCTTCACTTCTCTGACAGTAACTTCTTGAAGTGCATGTATAATAAATAAATAGAAATACACCTTTGTTCATGATGACATCTACATACAAGAAACATTTACATACAAAACAGACTGTACATCCAATTCCCGAGAAAGGACCAGCTATTTAGCCAACAGGAAGAAGATGAGCCTTTTCATCAAAGGCCCCTGACTCAATGGCAATGTTGACAAACAGAAAGGACAAGAGCAGCCTTCTAAGCAAGAAAGACATTTGTGCTACCAAGAAAATGCCTGGACATTGACTCTTGGATGGTTTAGGAAAGAATATTTTCTATACAGAACCCTGTACCGTTTGACATATGTACAACCTGCAGAACTTTCCAATAGGTATTTACTGAAATGAACTGAGCCAAAGACATTCAACATTCATGGCCACCTGAAAGTGACTGCATCTTCAGTGGTTCACAGTGTGAGACCCTCGCATTGAAAATTCAGTGAAACTTAGACAAGAAAAACATGAGGTCACTTTTATCCCCTTCCCTTCTCTGCTCATCTCCCCATAAGGGGGTCTTTCCTCTGACATTGTCCACTGAAGCAGCCATGTCTGTGGGAAGCAGTGTCCCACAGCTACCTCCCAGCAGCTGGATGACCCATTCAGTGGGATAGACCCCAGGGAGTTGGCTCAGCCTGGAGAGTTGACTCTGGAAATAAGGCCCCTTGACATCACTGGACAGAGGGGACCAAGCAAGTCTTCTTTAAAACAAAGTTTGTGTTTGTAGAGGAAAGGACCCATCCCATTATTGAAGCCCAGGAAAACCCTGATGTCTCAGAAGAATATCAAACATGGATAGTTTCCACTCATCTGGGCATCTAAGCTGTTTGCTCTGACTAGCTAAGAGATCCTGGGCTGGAGCCAACCACTCTCAGATCCCAATGAGGAGCCAACTGGCCCACCAGAAGCACATTGGAATATCTTGATGCTATCCATTGGGCATACCAGCACCACTGGGGAATAAGGTAGCACCAAGAGGATGCCACAGTCATGAGTAGCCCATGCCCAAGTGTGGCAGGTAGTGTAAAGAAAGTGAAGGTGGCAGAGCTGCTGCCTAGGGGAGGGTGGGCAGTGTGTACTGAAGAGCAAGAGGGAAAAGCCCTTTACAAAAGATCATTATATTCTGGCCCTCTTCTCCCCTTTAAGGGGATATAGCCCCTTCCAGAAGCTACTTCTGGAGCACTGGGCACCCCAGACAAGCTGCTGAGGCAGTGTGATGTGGCAGTGGGTGCTGAGTTTGGGGCTCACAGACCTGGCTGTGTGGTTCTTTCTCATCTCAAGTATCATTCTCCTCAGATGTAGGTACAATGGGCTGGACTAGGTGGTCCTCTCAAGAGCCCCCAAGATCCTCTCCATCTCTGATGCCTCAGGTTCACTGTGGTGTGAGTGTGCTCAGATTCCCTGGAGTCTTCTATTCAGCTCCTCGCTGAAGTACACCGTAGACCTATTGTAGAGCCTCGGGTCTGTGAACTGTACTACACCCTCTCTCAGAGTCAGAGTGGGCTGGCCTGGAGACCAACCTGAGCAAGGCTCTGTGCACCGTAGCTCAGCCCATTTCTCTCCGCAGACCCTGCTGCTCTATCACAAGTGGGTCAGCCGTGGGGGACTCAGATGCTGCAGGTGGTGGCAGGAAAGCCTTCGACTCGGGGCCATGCCAGAGGCTACCTCATCTCTCCCCACCATCTCTGTCCTTTGCTCCTGCCAGCATCATGACCTGCCAGAAGAAGCCTTCCCCATGCTCCTGGGCAGTAAGAACTTCCCCTGCTCTGACACTATCAACTGTGTCACTTCTTTCTGGGCTCTCAAACTGCTATCAGAGTGTACTGAGACCTGGCTGCCTGTCACCTGCTGACCCTAGACTCCCAGGTGTGAGCTCTCATGTCTCCATCTTCTGTATCCAGGATACTTTTAGTGGAGATGTCAGCTGCAATGATTACTTCTACTGATGGGCTCCAAGCACAGAGCAAAACACTGTAGAGTTCTGCAATCTCAGGAAGGACCCTTAGGAGCCACCTAGTCCCCGTCCCAATGTGCCAGCTGAAGTCTCTTGAAAAGGGATCCCCTCTAGACACAGGACTCCATCTCCTCCCCAGTGCAGTCTGCCACCCTGGCCAGCTCTGTCTGCATGCCTGCTCCTAATCCCAGGAAGCCCTACTCTTGCTTACCCGAATAAAGATGTATCTCCCATCATCTGCCACTTAATACATTTGCAAGTGACTGTGGAAATATGTGTGTGGTCCGTTATCCAGACCACCCCCTAGCTGGGCTCAGATTCCTGCCCAAGTGGCCCTTTGCTGCCAACACAACCCAGGTCTCTTTGTATGGTCCCCATGCCTACTGATGAGGCATAGTCAGGAGAGAAGCACCCAAGAGGAGGTTGTAGCATCAGCCAACACTGCCCAGGGGCTGCAGGTAGACTTGAGTAGGGGCAGGTGGCAGCACCAAGGTCTCTTATATCTGTCCCTTAGTCCAGCAGAGCTGAAAACCAGGGGACCCAGCCATCCTGCCCCCCGGCTGCTGTAGGAGTCCAGCCTGGGGTGATACCAAGTGGCAACTGTCCTTACAGCTTCTTCTTCCTCACCACAGGGATGGGCACCACTTGGAAGATCTTGGCCTTGTGTTCTTCAGTCTCCAGAGTCACCCAGGTGGGTCGGAAGCTGCCTTTGAAGCCGACAAATGCCATTTTTTCTGTAAAGTGAGGAATCAGATGGTTGCAAAATGAAGACGCTAGTATAGAAGCACTGGATGCCATGCTTTAACACTCCCCTTCAGCATCCTCTGCCCCCATGGGCAATCCCTTCCCAGTTACATTAGGCTCTGTCACTCTCGGGTAAGCTCTCAGCCTAGCAGGTGCTAGGACTGGGTGTCTTTTTGTATCACTCTTGGGCATGATGGCCACCCCGGAAGGGTAGAGGCTCTGTACATTACAGGCGAGCCACACACAGTAGAGGACAAGGGAGCCAGGGAGGGAAGGCTGCTAGTAGGATTCCTGCATGCCTTCTAGCTGACCTATGATCAGCAGAAAGTCTCTGTGGCCTATGATCCCACCTGTGAAATGGTGGCGTTTGTCATCCTCAGCTCGGGTACTTTGTGGCTCTAAGTGGATGACACATGGTGTGAGACTGAGTACAACTCCAGACCTTAGGCACTGCACTTGAGTGACTTGAAGGTCCAGTCTACACTCAGAAGTGGCCCAGGCTGGAGGGCAGTGAACACCTCCAGACAAGTCCCACTTGACATTGGTCATTGTATGTCTGGGGCTTTGGCAACAGCATCTTAATTTAACAAACGGAAGCCCCCAAATAGCCCTGGGGTTGCCAGGAAAGGACCTTGGTTCCCTTTCTTTACTGGCTGCTGTGACAGGCTTGTACATCTCTGGGTTTTTCTCTGGCTGCCTGGGATAAAGATCTTCATGATAGACTTCTGGTTTTGATGTTCGTCATAATCAGGACACAAATATTGAGGACTGACTCAGGAAGGCAAGGGTCCATATCCCAGCTGAAGCAAGCACCTCCCTATGTAACTGCTGTTTCGTCCTCTTCTGTGGTGGGAACCATACCTGGCACCCAAGTTATTTGTGAATAAATGAGATGACTATTGAAAGCTCAGCAAGGTGCAAGGCTGGCATCAAGTGGTAGCTATCCTGGTCATCATCATTCACACATCTGCTCCTTCTCATTTATGCCTCCCTGGGGCCACAATCTGAACAGCTTGTGACAAATGAGCAGCACATATCTGACTAGTTTTATCCAGCATATTCAGGAAGTCTGGGTTGGGTTTCATCACAGAAGAGCTGTGTGACCTTAAAAAAGCATGGAAGTCTCTGGGATTTAGTTCTCTCTCCTTTTCCTGTCTTAGAAGACAAATAAGAATTTTTCAAACTGTGAGAGATGCTAGAAAAGCATGCATCAGCTGGACTTGTGAGAAGGATGCAGACCGTTGGTCAGGATGAATGGTCAACAAAGGCAGCTTCTGATGATACTTTCATTGCATTAAAGGGCCTTTTGTGGAGTAGAGGGGTGAATAACTCTAGCAGTATTCTTCCCATGTCTGGTCACAAGGGAAAATGAATGTGTTGTGGTATAGAGATGGTCTGCAGGTGGCACCAGGCCAGGAGGCCACTGACTATGCTGAGGATTCTGGGGCTGTAACCAAGCCTAGTGGGAAACAATGTCCTGGACATAGCAAAAAAATGGTATCTTTGCACCATCTTCCCTGGTCTGAGGTCAGCTTAAGCCCCATTCTGACTTACCTTTCAACTTGAGACCTTTTTCTGCCCCAAGCTTTTCCAGCACTCTGGTCCATGGGCCTCTGGTGATGTATCTGCCCTTTGATACCATGAGAACGATGGAACTGAGGAAGAAGAGCCTGGTCAGATGACAGAAGTGAAAGGAAACTGCGGCGAGGGGCATGTGGCAGGGATGTTGGCCTCAGACAGAAGCTGTGGTGGCACTGCCAGAGCCTGGCTAGGGATTTGAGAGAGGATGTCCTTCCCTCTATATTAACCAACATACTCTTTCCTTTCAGCAACAAGAACCCCCAGCATCTGATCACATCTGTTGTCCTTGGCCTTCTCAAGCCTAGACAGGGTTCCCTGCTTTAAATGTCTGCCAGCCAGCTGGACAGAATATTTGTGAGAAGCATATATCCCAGCACCTGTGCTGGGGCTCACTGTGTGACTTCATAGGCACTCTCTGTCTGTCTGTCTGTCTGTCTCTCACACACAGAGACATATACACACACAGGAAATAGCTGTATTTAAGACATTGCGTTTCATACCTGAGATACACTGCTTATAAAGTTCAATGCTATTTCATTTCTTTGTGAATTTCTGTTTCCTTCCTTCTTTCCCCCACCTCTCCCCTTCCCCCGTTCATTCTTTCTGATTTTTTAAATTTTGTTTTGAGACAGAGTCTCACTATGTAGCCCTGGCTGGTCAAGGATTTACTATGTAGACCAGGCTGGCCTCAAAACTCATTGAGATCCATCTGCCTCTGCCTCCTCAGTGCTAGGATTATAGGCATATAGTATCATGCCCAGATAATATGTACTTCTTACTTCAAATAATTTCAGCACTGCTTAGACTAGAAGCCATTAGAAATGTGGTTACAGAGAAAGACAAGATACCTAGAAGGGAGAAAAAACCAGAATGAGAATGAGGACTTGAGGGAAGAAGAGAGAGCAGCTTTGAAACTACAAAGCCACCATGAAAGCCTTCCAGCACAGAGCCCTAGAGACGTGCTGCAGTGGCTCAACTTGGGAGCTCAACCTTGTTGACTTTGCTGTCAACTCATAGCAGGCCTTCTGACCTGTTTCATCCCCATAAGACCTCAGCTGACGTCCTAAGAACAGTGACCATGCCCTATGTTAGGTTCCCAGTGAAATCTGAATTGTATTTCTCTCTTTTTCATTCCCCGTCTTTCCTTTTGTGTGAATCTCTGTGTGTTGTGTGCGTGTAGAAGCCAGAGGAGGAGGCCAGCCATCCTGCTCTACCAATCTCCATCTTACTCCCTTGAGACAGGGTTTCTCACTGAACAGTCTGCTAGGCTGGCAGCCTGCAAACCTGAGCAGTCGTCCTCTCTTTGTCTCCCACAGGTTACTGGCACAGGTGTGGCCATGACTGGGTTTTTACACCGGTGCTGGGAATCTGAGCTCTGGTCCTCATGCTTTTGCAGCAAACATGGAGCCATATATGTGTTTTAATGGTTTCTGTGGGTGGCACTGGGCTCTGTGCCACCCATACTCCTCTCTCTCAGCTGCAGAAAGAGTGTCCTCCAGTTTGATAGCATTCTGGAAAGGACACTGTGTAGTCATTGCATTTCCACAGTGGCCTCTGTTGTGTGTCACCACCCTCTCTCATCAGGCAAGACCTGCCTGGTTTTGTCAATGGGAGACTGAACAAACAGTTACATGTTATCTGTGAGGGCTTCCCAGGAGGGCAAGGGGCAGGAACCAGAAGGACCCAGTTTGCAAAAGTCGAGCTAGAGCGTCTGTTCTTCCTGCTTTGGGCTGTGTTTAGTCCCCAGTGCTAAGAAAACAGCCTCCAGTAGTGGCAGACTCATGCTGGGCCAGACATGGGGTGTGAGTGCTTCCCTCAGAACAGAAACAGGGCAGAAGCTCCACGGGGCTTCCCACTCCCATCTCAGTGGAATTCTGTAACCACAGACCACAGTCCAGACATGGAAAAACCGTATAGGATTCTGGAAATTGCTATTACCCCCAATTTTGTCCCACTGGGAGCAGAAGGAAAGATGTCAACAGGCAAAGGGCTAGTGCAGAATAAGAGCCAATGGGAAGGCATCTGGGAGGCTGTCTTGGGTCCTTTAAGAAGGCTAAAAAGAGGAGGCCCAAGGGATTGGCAAGGTGAGGCTCATCAACGAGTAAGGATTCATTGCTAACACATCCTTGGGGTGGATCCAGACTCTGCTCCCAAGAGGAAATTTCCCCATTGTTCAGACTCAGAATAAACACTGAAGGCCCATGGCTGAACTAGTGAACTCTCAGGAAGGTCAGACACTCAGGGTGGCAGCTGAGTCAGCCAACAGAAGCAGGGCAGGGAGATAGGCTTGCTTATCATGCAGCCTCCTGGTATGATTCACATCATGCCATCTCCCTGCCTGGTACAGCATCCTCTTAGCCCCTGTCCCTGCTGACATAGTCTCCCACAGGTAGAAGTCAGAGGGGCCTTCCAGAAGCTTCAGTGTCTGTGTACCCTAGGGCCAGTGGTAGTCCTGGGGATGGGGGGGGGAGGGGGGGATAGGCCCAGGCTGAGTCTGAGCCATAGAACAAAGCACTTCTCCAGCCCCATTCAATTGTTGCTCTCCAGGAGGCAGGGAGGGGGTTGGTGGTGCCCTTTCCTGGCTGTGTATCCACTGCCAGCCTAATACTGATTCAGGCCATCTACACTTCTCCTAGGGATCTGCAAAGGCTGCAAGGAGCCCCACACCCCTCTCCAAACAGAACTCCAGGGACTATTTCTCACTCCCACCTTTTGCACTCTGGTTCATTTCAAGAAAAGGCTTATGGCCGAAAAAGGCCTGAAACCTACTGATCTTTAGATGATAAATGTACTTTCCCAACTTGGAGAGTCACATTCTTCTGTAGGAATCTGCACATGAAAACTAGAGTGTAGAGCCGAGGTGCTCACTCAGTCGTTAAGGGGTGCTTGTCTTGCAAACTCAAGGACCCAACTTTGACTCCCAGAACACATATGAAATAAAGTCCGGTGTGGTGGCATGCATCTGGGCTTGTAATCTCAGTGATGGGAAAGTGAAGACAAGCATGAGATCCCCAGAGCTAGCTAGCCAGCCAGCCTTGCCTATTTGGAGCATTTCAGGCCAGTGAGAGACCTCTTCCCAAAAAAAAGCAAAAATAAAACATGCGTGAAGAATGATACACAAGGTTGTTTTCTGGCTTCCACACATGTGTGCATATCCCTGTAGACATGTACCCCCTCACTTCCACATACATACATGCAAATATAATGAGAAAGGAACACTGAATGTGGGAAGAATAGATATAACTGTGACCAAGCAAAACCTGTTCTCCAGAATCGCACATGGAGTCCAGTTCCCACAGGACCATGAGGGTACATCCGGAAGGGCGCTTGTCTCACTCATTAACTATTTGCTAAGCACCTAGTGTGACAGGAGCCACATGAATCACACAGGATTTCCACTAGCTTGTGGCTCTAGAGATTTCCACACCCACACTGCAGTTCAGGGACTCAGCATGCATAAGCAAGTCTATTGTAGAGTCAACATCAGGATGATTTCCTGATGTCATCAGCCAAGGCCTCCATGTTCTGTTTCAAGCAGTGCTCCAGTGGAGAATGGAGGATGGATGGGAAAATACATCAGTGAGGAAGAAACAGATGTGTTAGACTTCAAAGGAGGTGAGGAGAGGCTACAGAGATCCCAATGTTTAAGAAGCTCAAATTAACTTCCAAAATGGGGGCGGGGGGAGAAAAGAGCCTGTCGGGGCTCTATGGTCATGGTGTTGGTTGACCAACAAGGATAGAGCAGGGCCAGAGATGATACCATGGAGGGACCATGAGGGAGGGCAATGGAGTATGTTGGATTGTTTTAGAATATAAGGGTAAAAGAAAGATGCTCAGCATTAAGTACAGATTCTGGGTCTGAACATCTAGATGGATGTTGATTTAGAGAAAACAGAAGAAGTGGCTGATCTGGAGGTTTACAACTTAAAAGGAAGAGACAAAGAGGATAAGACTTCAGTTCCATTTGAGACATCTAGGTGGCAACCTCTAAGCAGCCACTGGATAGGAATGTTTGGGGTTTAGGAAAAGAATCCAGACTGGACAGCTTCAGAAGCCACCAGCATTTGGATCCTATTGGGGGTGTGGGTGGGATGAGATCACTGGGAGAGAGTGCTGGTGATGGGGGCAGAGGGGCAGGCAGCCTTCCAAGGGGTGAGGCAGCCGTCCCCTCTGCCTCAGCTTGACCTACATCCACAACAGCCTTGTCTCCAGTGGGCACAGCAACAGCATGAAGGTCTCCCCACCCAGCAGGCACAGAGCATCCTGACTAGCAAATATCATGAGGGGTTGGGCACGAGGGACAGGGCCCTCGCCAGGGATCTGTCATGTCTCTGGACAGTTCAGAAACTGAGCTACACACTCACTTGTCAGGGACAGCTGCCACATAGTTGAAGAGCTGCCAGGGTATGCCCTGCAGAGTGGCAGTTCTGAAGCTCCCGTGGCTCACCACATGACCTCGGTTCCCATCAATCACCACCACCTGGACGCCATCTTCTGAGCAAGGGTACTTCCTGCCATCCACCTGCAGGGCCAAAGCAACACAGATATGAGGGAACCTGGGGCAGCTGAGGTGCCAAGGTTCTCCTTCCTGTATGGTTCCTATGTAGACACTAAAGGCAGAGTTTGGATACACAGTGGCTCAGTTTATGAGACCCCTTCACACCCCTTGTTTGTGCTCCCTGTAGACTTGAATAGTGACCTCCCAAAAGATATGCCCCCTATGAAACTGTGCATTTGATTTTGTCTAGAAAGAGTGCTCCCCAAAATGTCTTAATGGCATGCAGTGGTGACTTAATATTAAGGATCTCAGGGCAGGAACATCCAGAATGTTTGGGGCAGGCACCAAATCCAACGATGGAACCCCTTAGGAGGAAAGGTAAGAGATAAGAGAGGCACAAATCAGGGATGGCCTCGTGAAGACATGACAGAAATGCCAGTGTCGTAAATCTAATCCAAAGGGCGTGTACGGCCGCCAGAGGTTAGGGGAAGCTTTCTGGCTTCCGAAACGGAAAGAGAATAACCTTTTGTTCTCACCCGTCCAGCTTGTGGCGATTTATCCCAATACCACCTGTCACCGTGTAATCTGACATTCCCCCACAGGCTCATGGTTTGAATGCTTGTTCCCTACATAGCAGTGGTGTTTCAGGAGTGTGTGGAACCATTAGGAGGTAGAATCTAGCTGGAGGAAGTAGGTTGCCATGAATCAGTCTTTGAAAGTTATTCCTGCCCCCTAGTTCCTGCCTCTTTCTTGGCTTCCTGGTCTTCCATGGGGTCCATAGCCTCTGCATACACGTGAATGGTGGTTTGAGTGTCAATGTCCCCCATAGGTCCATATATTTGAATGATTGGGTCCCCAGTTGGTGGAGCTGACTGGGAAGGATTAGGAAGTATGGCCTTGTTAGAGGAGGTGTTTCACTAGGAACAGGTTTTGAGATTTCAAAAGACTCCCGCCATTCCCAATGTTATTTCTCTGCCTCCTACTTATAGACCAAAATGGAAGCATTCAGCTGTTCTTACCACCATACCTTTTTCTCTGCCGTTGCAGACTCTAGCCATCTGAAATTATAAGCCCCAAGTTAAACACTTTCATTTATAAGTTGCCTTGGTCATGGTGTTTTTTTCACAGCAATTGAAAAGTAACTATGACAGCAGGCCTCTGTGAACTGGGCTATCCTGTCATACCTTCCTTACTATGATGGACCAAAGCTCCCTGAAACCATGAGTCAAAATAAATCTTTTCTCCCATGAGTCACCAGGTACTATGGTCACAATGAGACAAGACTAGCTAATACACCACTCTACCCTGGTGAGCAGCCTTGGACCTGCAGAATCTTTGCTTACTTCAATATAAGCGAAGTCATTCCGAAGGTGGAAAAAGTGCTGCCTGAAACTTTCCATCTTCACTTCCAGGAACCGGTCTTTTGTCTTCTGAAAAACAAACACAGGACGGTTGTGAGGCTGTGAAGTCTGGGTGTTCTTTCTCCTTATGTGCCCTGTGCCTTGACCCAGAACTGAGTCCTGGAGCTGAACAGGTATCCAGAGAGTAGTTCAACTGGGTCTGAGCCTCCTGGAGGCAAAGGGCCCAGCCTGCCATGGCCACTTACCAGTTGGGCCCCAAAGAGCTTCTTGGGCATTGGCACATCCACCAAGGCCCTCTCCGTGAACCTGGGGTAAGCGGTGGCTGTGCAGTCACTGATGCCTGCATTTCTTGGGATCAGAGCTTTAATCTTGATTCTCTCACAGCCCTTCATGGAGCAGAAAGCAAACCTCTCCCTTTCATTCTGGGCTTTCAGCTTCAAGAAGAGCAATCTGCACACAGAAGGAAGCTGGGTGTTTGTAGGAGGCACTTGCTTCTCACCCAAACCAGACATGGTGCCACCCACCTATCATCCCAGCACTTGGGAAGCACAGGTGGGAAGGTCACTCCAAGTTCAAGGCCAAATTGGTCTACTTATTTTGTTCAAGGCCAAGCAGGACTGCCTAGCAAGACCTTATCTCAAGCAAACAAATAAAGAAACAAATAGAAAACCTCCTGGTCACTGAGGTTACATCCTGAGGGCCTTAAATCATGGAACTGTGTCTGTCAGAGAGTCATATTCAGTTGGAGGAATAATATATATTAATATATAAGAAAGTTCTGGCAAATATTTTCCGAGGATCAACTACATATACAATTGTAGATTGACACATCATCTCCTTTAATCATCAACCTTGCCCACTGTGTACTATTATCACACTGATTTGGCAGATGTGACTACCCAGATGAGAGTTACAGAGCTGGGAGTTTTCCCATCCTATCGTGGACCCTGACTGTACTTTTGTTCAAGCCATAACTTATTCCAATAATAACTATTAGGGAGGAAGCTGGCCCATGTTCCAGGGAGTCAGATTATGTGGCTGCCCCAATACTGACTTGGCATTTGTTAATGCTGTTCTTTCATCTCAGAGAAATGCTCTCAAGCCGAGTCCTGTCTGTAATACCTAAAAATAAGGTCCTGATCATCTCCACGCTTTTCTTTAGGGGAGCCAACTTTTAGTGATCGAACTTGGCTTTGGATCAGGGTGCCAAAGTCAATGCTACCCAACTTCTGACCAGAGTAGGGGCTCACACTGGATTCTCAATAGACAATCTGTTGGCTACAGGGAGGCAAGAAGATGCACTCTCTTGTGAACTAGAATGAAGAAAGTGCTGGGTCTTGTTGGTCGGTACTTGAGTTGTAAGGGCAAATGAGTAGTGGCTGCTGTGACTATTTTGTGCCATGACCCTCCTGAGGAATGAAGGAGAGAAGGCAGCTTGAGAGAAGACCCTGATAGAAGAGGCTTGGCATACACACACACTCATGTGTGTGAGAGGATAAAGGAATGAGCCTTCTCTTGGACTTGAGATGTTTCTAGATGCTCCAAAGCAAGAGCCTTTGTTCTTCTGGGTGTTGTAGTGTACAACTTTAATCTCAGCACTTAGAAGGCAAAGGCTGGTGGATCTCTGTGAGTGTGAGGCCAGCCCTGTCTACACTGTAAGTTCTAGGCCAGGCAGGGTTATATATTTAGACCCTGTCTCAAAAACACAAAAACCAAATAATACCTCTGTTCCTGGCATCAAGTGATCTCTGACTAACATGGAAACTGCCAGATGCAAGAGTCTCTAGCTCAAGGCCAAATACAGACCTGGTGCCATCTGTATGCTCTGTGTGGTGAGAAGGCTGCAGAGGCTGGACATAGCCATGTCACACTGGGGCTCCTTTCCCCACAAGAATCAATGCCAAGGACCTAGAGGCAAAGTTGGCCTGGGTCCTTACCTCCTGTACTGGTCTTAACAGTGTTAAAAATTTCTTAACACTTTAAAGCAAGAGGGATCTGAGAGATCATCTATCCCACACTCTGACTGTACAGATCACAGCTCTGGCCTTGACCTACAACCTATGGGTGTCTCAGTAAGCTGAACTGAACATCAAGGCCCTGGATGGTGACGAAATGAGGGCCCTGATTTCAATGATCCACATGTTCATGGAGCAGTGCCACCAACGGCCTTACTCCTTCTATACCATACTTTATTATTTTGTGACACCTCCCCTGAGTGGCAACTGGTAAACCAGTTGTGCAAAGTACAGCTAAAGCCAAGCCAGGGCCCATTTCCCACCTTGGAACTCCCTTCTCTTAGCTAGCTATTTTCATTTTACCCCTAATTATGGCAAATTGATTATCCTTCTAAAAAAAGAGAGCAGCTATTTTGTTTTCTCCTCATAAACAAAGCAAAAAAACCATTAAATAACCTTTCACCTTATTCCCCACAAGGCTTTTGTGGCCAGCTTCATCACTCTGGGCACACTGGACTTCCTCGGTTGTTAGTCTGGAGTGTGTGTGTGTGTGTGTGTGTGTGTGTGTGTGTGTGTGTGTGTGCAGGTTCTAGGGGACTGAACTCAGGTTTGCACACCAAATGCTTGACTGACTGAACCCCTTCCCATCAATGGATTTATTTTAGGGGAAGAGACCAGAGAGTTTCCTAGTGTCTTTGTGGAGACACCTTGCTCCCATTGTCTGTTGACCAGGATCCGGTGAAGATTAGCAGAAGTGGGAGGGCTTGGGGTATAGATAGTCCTACGCTTAGATCCAGCTGGGATAGGTTTGTGTTATTCTTTCAAAAAAGAGAATAGCTGTTTTGTTTTCTGAGCAAGTCACTTCTGTTTTCCCAGTGTCTTCTTTTCCCATCTTCAAATTAGAATGTTGTTTGTTCCACTTGGGTTGGGGGGTGGAGGCATATCATGTTGGTTTATTTGCTTTTGCTTAACCTTAACTTCTTTTCTCAAACTTTCCCTATCATCGACTTGCAGATTTAATAGAGAATTTATGTCCCTCCCAAAGCTTGACTGCTTTAAGGGGTTGAGAATACGGTTAGTGCTTGGGTCAAAGTGTCTAGGAAAGCCTTCTGTACTCATTAGGATCAACTACACTGTAGTTCTTAGGGTTATGGGAAGACCTAGCATACATAATAAACTGAGCCCCATTTCTTCAGACCATAGGAGCCTCCTTACCCAGAATCCTCATCCCAGTAGTAGTGGTTCCTGCCAGGATAGCTCTGTTCCACCTTGTCCATCTGCAGGGTCCTTACAAAGGTCCCAGTCTTGGATGTTTGTTTCAGCAGGCGATTATGAACATCTGAAAGGATGGAGAAGGTGGTGCCTCTTGGGTAGCAGAGCCCCACTCGGATCCAGTCACCCCTGGAAAAGACAGTGGGGTTAGTTCTGGGCAAGGGCCCTTGAGCACACCACAGGAATAGTGGCCAAAGAATTCTGAAGTGGGAACATTTGAAAGAATAATAACTAAGATGCAAAGTGTTTGTTCAAGGCAAAAAGGATGGATGGTAACCACCAGTGGCTGAAGAGGACCATCATGAGGGGTCACCTTTGAGCCTTCAAGGGCTGATCTAGGGGTGCTCTGTGTGGGTTTTGGATGGAAAAATGGCATTCTTTCAACTGGGCTATGATTAAAGAGCACAAGCAACTGAGGGCTAGGGCCAGCCTCTTCCTGATAGGGGGCCTGCTTCACTCTGCCTTCTGCAATGCAGAGCTGTCTGTCTCAGCGATACAGACATGGGTATGTGATACACATAGGAAATGCTTGAATGTAAGTATATACAAATGACCTGATGTCTTTAATCTAACTGCTTTCCTCCTGCTGTGGTTTATATTGATGGACTTGACAGCTCCTTGAACCACCTGGGAAAGGGTACAATCCCCCAGTGTGCAGCTGTGAGGGATTATCTAGATTAGGTTAGCCTCTTGGCATGCCTGAGGGGTTTTCCTGATTAACTGAGGTGGGGAGACCCACCCTAAATGTGGGTGACACTATTCCATTGGCTGGGGTCCTGCACTGAATAAGAAGTGTTCATCTCCCTCTGCCTCCTGACTGGGGATGCAATGTGACCAGCTCCTCAAGCTCCTGCTGACACGATGTTCTCACCATGATAGACTTCCATGTCCTACGATGAGGCAGAATAAATCCTTCCTTCCTCAGGTTGCTTCTGTTAGGATAGCTTACCACAGAAGTAAAGGAATAATTGAGATGCCCTCCCCTCCAGGTGTGGTAGCACACGCCTTTAATCCCAGCTCTTGGGGAGGCAGAGGCCAAGTGAACAAAGGACTGCCAAGGCTACACAGAGAAACCCTGTCTTGGAAAACAAACAAACAAACAAACAAACAAACAAACAAGGAGTTAGAGAGATGGCTCAGAGGTTGAGAGCACTGGCTGTTCTTCCAAAGGTCCCGAGTTCAATTCCCAGCAACCACATGGTAGCTCATGTCCACAGATAATGAGCTCTGGTGCCTTCCTCTGGCCTACAGGCATACATGCAGGCAGAATACTGGATCACACACTCAGTCACTTACTCACTCAATCAATAGAAAAGAAAAAACCAAAACCAAACAAAAAGATGCTCTCACAGAGCTTGTTCCCTCTCCATCAGTAATGCTAGGAGCTGGGTGACAGTTATACTCATTACATCACTACACATTCTTTGTTCACTTGGCCTCCAAGAGATCGGCTCTTCTGCACAAGGTGGGCCCATTACACCGCCTCAGCCTGCACCCTCGGATTCTCGGCTCTGGATGATGAGAACCTGTCTGGGTACCTCCTGCAGGGCTTACAGGGACCACCAGCCTGAGGTCCTGTGAACCGCAAACCAACACTTTGCCATGAGGCATTCTCCCTGCCTGATCGCAGCAGCACCTCTGTGCCACTGTCCTGGCCCATGCTTCCCTGGCTGCCCACACTCACTTGTTAAAGTTGATGAGCCAGATGGCAAGCTCAGCGGGCGCTGTCTGGTCCCAGTGGATGGTGTAACCCTTCTGCAGGGTGACGACGGGCTGATACTGCTGGTAGTGGGTGCTCCTGGTCAGGGCCCCCTCCAGGTAGAGGGGGTGGCTGGGGAAGTCATTCTTGATGATCTTCATGCGCAGGTTGCTGCTCTTGTAGGCCTGGATGTACATCTTTGAAAACCCAAAAAGGAAAGGTGCAAGGAAGCTGTTAGCAGGGATGGTTCCAGGGTGTCTGACTAACATATGACAACAGGGGTCACTTTCAGAGCTACTGTCTCTTTGCAGAGCCTGAATGAAAAGAAGAGCAAAGAAGGGGATGTCTCTTTCTGCTGGAGAACACCGCCCAGGTTGCTCCATGTATTTTATTGTCTTTTCTTTCTTTCTTTCTTTCTTTCTTTCTTTCTTTCTTTCTTTCTTTCTTTCTTTCTTTCTTTCTTTCTTTCTTTCTTTCTTCCTTCCTTCCTTCCTTCCTTCCTTCCTTCCTTCCTTCCTTCCTTCCTTTCTTTCTTTCTTTCTTTCTTTCTTTCTTTCTTTCTTTCTTTTAACAATTATTCAACATGTATCCTGACTGAAGCCCTCTGCCTTGTTTTGGGCGGATGGCAGAGGAGGAGTTGAGGGAGGGGACTGCACCATGTATCTTGGCAGACATTTTCTGTGATTTCAAAAAAATGACCTCTGCTGGGGAGTGACCAGAGCTGACTGTTATTCACATGGTGAACTGTGAAAAATGGAGGCATGTGTGAAAGGACAAGAAAAAGAGAGGGAAGACCCTTCTTTCGTCCTTCTTCCTTAGTTCCTTCCTTCCATCTTTATTTCTTTCCTCTCTTCCTCTGTTTTTTCTTTCTTCTTTCCATATTGGGCATTAAATATAGGGCAATAAACACTGTACATGCTAGGCAAGCCCTCTACTGCTGAGCTACACCCCTAGGCCTCTTTTCACTCTGAGTCAAGGAAGCCTGCCCAAGCTGATTTTGTAGCTCAGGCAGGCCATGAACCTGCAGTCTTCCTGCCTCCACCTTGTTAGCTGTTGAGATGTCAGGGACTTCAGCACCAGGCCCAGTGCGAGGTGTATATTCAAACCCTCCTGCAGATACAACCATGGGCCCATGGAGCAGGTGGTGTATGTAGCTGTACCCATTAGATGAGTTCATGACGTTTCAATCAAAGAAAGAAAAAAAAAAGTGAAATAAAGTTACCAGGCATTAAGTCCCTAAGAACCAAAGAGCCAACCTTTGTTTGAAACACTTTTCTGGAGGCAAGGGAGATGGCTCAGTTGGTAAAATGTCTGCTATAAAAGCACAGGGACCTGCATGTGAAATACATATGTGAAAGCATGCATCTGTAACCCCAGAACTGGAGGTAGTCAGTAACAGGTGAATCCTGGGGGCTGGACAGCTGGACAGCTAGCCTAGTCAGAACTGGGAGCTTCAGGTTCAGTGAGGAAGCTTATCTCAAAAACTGAGGTGGAAAGTGATAGAGGAAGGCAGCTGGTATTAACCTCTGGCCTCTGCATGTGCGCACACAGGCAAAAGCATAATATAATATACATATACGTATCACACATACACCACACACACACACACACACACACACACACACACACACACACACATGCACGCATATCTTGTTCAGTTCTCCGGCTCATCCCATCTCGGCAGCTGGGGACCAGAGAGGCCATTACACCAAAGTGCAATGATGAGCTATTCACCTCTAGTTTTATTACACAATTACTATGTATTATAAATCACATATTATAAATATTATGTAAGATGAAAAATGGAACTCCAACATTGTCCACCTTACAGGGCTGTCAAATGTGTCACTCAACACGTTAACTTATCTTGTAAGCTATAGAGCCAGGGGAGGAGACTATTAGTAACAATTAGACAATAACTAGCTATGGTCATTGGCCAGGCTCTAAAGATCAGCCATTTTCTAAGAAGATGAGCAATGTGTCGGGCAGGAAAGCGTGGGCTCCACACAGGATACCTAGCCTGAATGTCTATGCTGGATAATTCTAGAGGTGTGGATGCTCCTGGAGGGTTTGGTTAGCCTTCAGTTATGCAGGCATGATTCCCACTGATCAGCCCTCCTCCCTTCCTCTTCTGTAGACCGTCTTTCCCACTGGCATCTTGGCCCTTGCTCTGTCCACACATGTGGCAGAGCCTGGCCCTTGGTCATTGTCTTTCCCTATTGCTTCTAGAGCTCTGAGATGGGGCTGAGAAAACCCCCTAGTCTAGGAGGGAGGCATTGCTCCAGTCTCCACGGGGTTTTCAACACTGCTAGGCAGTCTGTCTGCATGCCTCCTGTCAACATTTTCTGTGCTCGCAGCAGCTACTCTAGCCATTCATTGCTCTCTGCAGGCTATCCTTCTCAAGCCCGCTCCTGCATTCTCAGCATAGTGTGGCCCAGGAACCAGTTTTAAGAATGCCATTTTAATGAATTCAAACCTCAAAATGGAACTCTGAGACTCAACATCAATCAATCAAGAGATTTCAAAACAAAAGCAGGGAAAGAATTTTCTTCTTATTAACTACAACTTGATAATGTTGGTTGTCCTCTGTGTTACCTTGCTGAGAACTGACATTTCAAAAGAAATTGGCTAGTGGGCTAGAGTGATGGCCCAGCAGTTAAGAGCTCTTCCAGTTGTTGCTCTTCCAGAGGACCTGGGTTCAGTTCCCAGCACCCACATAGTGGTTCACAACCATCTATGACTCCGGTTCCAGAGGATCTGATACTTTTCTCTGATCTCTGTGTTCGCCTGCAGGGATGTGCTGAATATACATAAGGACTGGCGAAACACATAAACATAAAATAAATATTAAAAAAAGAAATATTAAAAATATTTTAAAAGAAGTGGGCTAAAAATAGAAAATATGTCAAAATATTATTCAATTGATGTCTCATTTTAACATGATTGCTAGAAAAGTTATGGCTCACATTTTATTTCTATTCCTAAGAAAGGACAGGAGGGAGGATTTTATTTGTACCATCTGAAATCATTCATAAAACATCACTAAAGAAGTTCAGTTGTTAGCTCAAGTTCACACCGTTGTAGGACACTGAGTCTCCAACAGTGTAAGCAGAAGATCAGCAGGGAGCCAGTGCTGGAACCTGGAATGAAGTACCCCGCCACAGGGTTTTGACTGTGACCATCCTGTGAGACGGGTGTGGGAGGTAGAAAAAGTAAGGAAGGAAATTTTTACATCATTCCTGGTCCAGCATACATCTGGACACACAGCAGGCTCTCCGAGTCCTTGTCACACGAGGGAGGGAGGGAGGGAGCTAGCAAGTGGCTTAGAGTGGCATATGCCCACCTGTGCATAGCGCCCACTGCAGATAGCCCCTCTCCAGTCTGGGACGTTGATGCAGTCTGGGTGTCGAACCAGCCAGTTGTCGTCCTTCGTGAGGTAGGAGCCGGGGTACTCTGACACAGAGCCATCCACATCGTGGAACACAGATGTCTTGTCGCCATCCATGTCCAGCTGGTTGAACCAGGGCCCGGGCTCTCCGAAGAACACTCTGGAAGTAATCTGAACAGAGCCCAGGAAAATAAGGCTGAGCCCAGAAGGTGAACGGAAACTGCAGCCGTCATCAGGCCAGGGCAAAGTTTCCAATTTCCGCTGACATTACAAAGCAGCCAGACGGAGGCTGCCCTTGGGCGCTGAAGGAAACCACACGGACTGACCATCTCATGGAACCCGAAAAACAGCCAGAGTACCATTGTGCCTCAACTCTGAGAACTGTCATATAATTTTGGCTCTACTCACTGATTTGGCTGCTGTAGGTGGCCTTGGAGGCTGGTCTGATGGAGGAGGGGCTTAAGAGCGAGTGAGTGTTCTGGTGAATGAACTGGGGAGGAGTTGGGAGTGAGTGCTTGTGTGAGAAAGTGTGCACAGTGTTCAGGGGGGACCTGTGTGTAAGAGTGTGCATGAGCTTGTGGGTATGTGTGGTGAGTTTAAGGAGGACAAACTCACAGTGAAAGCCATTGAACATCTCTATGACTGACCTCCTACAGGCTCTCAGGGGTCTGAGTGAAGAAATTAAGTCACTTAAGATTCTGTCTTCTCAGAGCCCTGCTAATGACTGAGCAGACAGACAACAGCAGTAGCAGGAAGGAGAAGAATGAAATGAGGAGGGGGAGGGAAAGGATGGGAGAAATGAAAGGAGGGAAAGGCTTGGGAGACCACAGGCTACAGATAGTGACAAGCATCAGGCCTCACAGGCAGCCTTGGCATGCTCTCTTGACCCTCAGCTCCCTCCACCTTCTCCATCTACAGCCAGGAAGGCCCTAATTACATTCTACATTCAGGATGAACCTAAATAATGTCTTCAGAAGACTTCTCTTAGACACTGCTAGAGTTGTGAGATAATCTATGCCAACTCAAGTAGCCTGGTTACAACTTCCAGTTTGTCAAGGCTCTGGAGAAGCAGCTTCAGAACTCTGAGTTCATCTCCAGTTTTTCCTGAGGTACAGATGGAAGGCCCGTGGGCATTCACCCAGACTTGACCTTCTGCAGTGACCTGAGCTTGTACTTTTCCAGTTTGGGTAGAGAGCACACTGGGACAAGGTCCAGCCTACTTGGAGGAAGCTATTCCACCCTTGTGGTGGTGGCAACAGCTCAATCTCCGAGCCGTGGGGGACAAGTGACTCATCATTCAAAGTCTGGCTATGCCAGGAGCCTGTCCTGGCACCATACTCACCGGGACATCCTCAAAGGCAATGTTGGTCACGTTGTTGTGGGGGCAGCTCTGCCAGGCATTGTTTAGGCGGAAAGCCAAGGCGCTAGTGTGTCGGCCCTCGAGGGCTGCGAACTTGCGAAAGGTGCAGTTCTGGATGTTGATGGGACCGTCATAGAACTGGATTCCTCTAATCGGAAAATTCCTGTGGAGTCAAGGAAGTCAGGTGTCAGCTTCTTTGGAGGCGAATGGTAAGAGATTTTTCTGGGTAAAGCCATTCCTGATCTGCAACTCCTTCCGCTGAAAAATCAGCTAATTCACTGAGAAGGCATGTATGGGCACAGTGTCAATGAATGAATGATTGCTGGATAAATGTCTCTATAGATGAATGATGATGGATGGTGGGGATGCATTGACTGGATGGCGTTTGGTAGAGCGATGGATGGTAGATGGGTTGGATGGACCGGTACATGGATGCTGGCTGATAAGCAGATGGATGAATGGATGGTGGATGGATGGATAGATGGAAAGATTGTAAGTAGATGGATGGTGGATGAATAGATGGTGGTGGGTGGCCAGATGAGTGGATGAATGGTATGATGGACAGCTAGTCGGAAGAATGAATGATCGGTTGGTAGATAAATAGCTGTCTGTCTAGTTGCTGGCTTAAGGACCTCTGTTTAGGCAGTTTCTCTACTCTTCCCATCAATGTGTCCAGCCACTAGGAAAATACTGTAAATACTTCTAGAGACTGCCAATATTCCGTCCCTCGGGAGGTGATCACTGTTAGTCATTATCCCCCTAGTTTTAGTTGCTATAACAATTTAATCAGATTAAGATCCAGATGCATTTCCTCCGTGAGCCTATCCACAGGCAGCGTGCTGTGTTTGGGAAATAGTGAGGAACAGAAATACGCAGAATGGGCAAAGATAAAAAAGAATTACAATGCAACTTTTCAAGCATTACCAGAGGCAAAGACAGCTTTTGCTAGAAAAGCAAGACCACAGACTGACACAGGGCGCCGGAGAAGGCCTGATACTGGGAGGCAGCAGGAAGGAAGTGGGAAGAGGTGGCAGCTGGGAGACATGGAGGGACCAGAGAAGAATCAGTGAAGTGGAAACTTCTCCCTTGCCTGGCAGGGAGGAGGGACTCAGAGATACCTCTCCCATTTACTTGAGACTCTTGAGCAGGGTATTTAAATGGAAGGCTCATGAGGGAATGGTCAGACTGCTTGGTGGCCTTTCTCAGGGCTGGTCATCAAGTCTAGGCTTGCCATTTTCTATGCCTAACATATTCAATTCTCTGCTTCTGGCTTGGTCCTTTCCCATCTCTTCCACAGTGAACTTAGGGAAGCAAGGGAATGAAGAAGGAAAATGAAGCATATGAAAGCTATGTCCCCAGAGAGAGGCCATCCCCAGCTGTCCTTAGTCTTCTATTAAGGCTCCCAGCTGTTATATATGGTTCCCAAGAAAGTCTCCATTCACCCCCAAATCCCCTTGTGTTTCCGTATTTTTATATTAGTAACTGATGATGCCACCACCTCGAATCCTGGTTTTCTTGGGGTGCATCCATGCACATTTCTAGTTAATTTATTCAGGGTCAGCACATTCTTGCTAGTTCTACATAAGCCAGGTCCTAATCGACCTCCATTAAAAGCATATGGTCCTTCCTAGGCCTCTCCTCCCAAGGGCAGCGTGAGAAACCTGCTTGAGTCTGTCAGGGCACCATAGAAAAGATCACCTCTGGAAGTTACGAGAATATCCTGTCCCTGGAAATTGGAAACCTTCTAGAAAGAAATTCTAGAAATGTAGACTGAGAATCACTTATAAAAAAGGGGTCTGTCTTGTCCCTTAAAATGGAAGCAAGGGCTTTTTGATAGCTTGGTCAAAGAAGACCAGGCATATGCCTCTGCATGTGCCTCTAGGGCATCTTCTGGGAGACCCACGTGTACTTAGGTTGAAAGTTTCAGTCTGCATGTTTCTGTCCTGATTGTAACAGCAGACACTGCTATTTTCACCAAAAAGAAGACTAAACCAGTCTCACGGCCTCAGTGGAACGAGCCTTTCCTCTTGTATACATGGCAGCCTCGAGACGTGACCACCTGTGGGGATGATTAGTCTCTTGGTGCAAGATTCCAATCTTTGTGAGACATGGCTGCAAGTTTGATCACCTCGGCTCACTTTCTTCTCTGCCATACTCAGAAGTGAATGAAGGACTCTGAGTGAGTTCCTGAGGAGACTCAGAATCTGTCTTTCTGGACACCATGTTCCCCTGAACATCTGATGGTTGTGTACCTGTTGGCATCTGGTCTACAGTGTTTTTTTTACTTCTCTCTCCTCATTCCAGATTTTATCCTCATTGTGAGTCCCAACTATTACACTTTGCAGGTTGTTAGATGGCAGAAACATTCAGAGTCAACAAATAGAAGTCAGCCACTAACTTTTTTTTTTTTCATGGCTGTAACTCAAGCCGAACACACAAAAAAGAGCAGTTCCCACCATTGCAAACCTACTGGCCAATAGGGAGGGTCCTTCCGCTGTGGTCCAAGCCACCCGGGCCCCAGATCCTGTTGTCCATCATTTCCGTGCCCACATTGCCACTCTCGCCAACAAACAAGCTGTTCTTTATCTCTTGCTTAGAGCCATCATCATATGGGAAGGTTCCACCACTGCAGAGAGGAGATGGTGAGGATGAGCTATCCAAATATAAGCTCCCACAAAAGACCAGTCACAATGGCTGTCACTCTTACCTGGCCAGGGTCAGACCAATGCCATTATCAGCAAACCTAGGGACAAAGCAGACAAGTCATCACATGTTCTCACTCCACAGTCAATGACGTTGCAGAAGGAAGGACACTTCTTTGTCCCTAGAGTCTAACTGTGGACACTGAGGGAGGAGTTTTGCTGAGGAAATCATAATTTTCTACTCTATGCAACAAAAGGGTATTCTGGTTCCTACTCACAGATTTGGTGTTCCTTGGAATGCCTGGTAGAGAGATAATGACATACTCACATTGGTAGGGGTACTCAATGACTTAGCATTTGGGGGCAATGGAGCATTAGTTACAGGAGGGCTGGCTCTCATAGACCTCCCTTGCCAGCCCACCTCTGGCTGAGCCCCTGGGGGTCTATGGGGTTGATTAGGAGAAATGGCGGGAGGTGGGTGGTGGGTGGGGTTGGGGGCTTTCTCATCCTCAGGGCCAGCACTCAGACATAGCAAGAAACTCAAATAGCTAATTTCTAAGTTTTCCAGAAGCCAGGCAGTTTCTGTCCCTGAGAAGAGCAAGAACAAACCTCATAATTACACCATGCTGATCACAGCTGCTACCCTGCAACTCTGCTTGTTTTTAGGGTCAGTATGAGCAGGTTTCTGGGGGCAGCTGGTCCTGCCTCATGAAGGAGCTAGACCTTGGATCTGTGTTTCCTTCATTTCCTGTGATCCTCTTCTCCTTTCCTGTTCAATACACCCCAAGGCTCTCCTTCAAGTGCCATTTTTATACATCATTTGTTGCTTTTTAAATTCCCAGTGGCTTCACAACTCCTATAAGCCCAGGCCCAAGTCATCCTTGTTCCCTTCTGTGTCAGTCATACCTATCTGATCCTGCTTTCCACAACTCTCCAGTTCCCAACACACTTGACAATCAGTTCCTTTTCAGCGTGCTGTGCTTCCCCTTTAAATATCTATCTAGCCAAACCAACCAATCAATCAAGTCTCATGTAGGATACCAGGCTCTCCAGCTTTTCCTACTCCCTGTACCCAGCTTTTCATCATCTCTGGTATCTCCTGGTGATTTGCCACGGTCACTTCACACCCCACTGTGACCCTAGGGACCTCACAGACACTCACAGCTTCCTTCTTCACCCATCTGGGTGACTGTAAAACCAGACATTTGTCCTATCTTGTCTTTGGAAGATTTGGGACGTTTCTAGTGCAAACTTGGTGAGTATCTTCAATGCAACATGTCTAAGAGCACAGCTGCTCGCTTTACTGAAGGCTGGGGCTTATCCACACTCTCCTTGTTTATGATCCTCTTTTACCTGGACTGGAGTGTTCCATTTTCCCACCCCCAGGAGCACCCTCTCTCATCCTTGCCTGCATCCAAGGATACTAGAGCCTCCCTAATTCCCCAACAGCCACATTGGGTAAATAGCTAAAGATCATGTCAACTCTGTTTGGGGGACCTAAGTCCTGATGGCAGCCAGACTCTGGGCTTCCTTAGACTGTCTAGTGGAGGACAAGAAGACCCACCCACATTGGTAGGGCACTTCATCATTTTTCTTGCAGAAGGAGAACCATATTTGCCATCAGACTTCTGGTGACTTTATATCATGCATCAAAGTTTTTGGCTCTTTTTGTGGGACTTAAAGTCTAACAGCCTTGAGTATCAAGTCTCATTTTTTTTTTTTTTTTTTTTTTTTTTTTACTACTCATTAGACATTCAACTTGATACACTCACTAACTGGGCCTCATTTTATCATCAACAGAGCAAGGATTTTACACTTTTTAAAACTTTACATTCTGGAGAAAATACAGTGAGAAAGAAATAAAAACAGAGTTACAGAGTTTAGGCACACAGTGAGTGCTCAGTACCATGACTCCTTTTTCCCCTCCCTGCACTGACCAGCCATGTGACCATGAAAGAGAGAGTCACCATGAGTAACCATAGCACACAGCACTGTGGGTGACTCTAACATGCTGCTGTGGGCTTTTTTCCTCTCCTGGCCACCGTCTGCTGCCATCTTACGTCCATGTCTTACAGGGGGAGCAGAAGCTGAATGTCATTAAGCTTAGAATCCTCTCTGCCTTGCTCACTCTTCTGCCTAGGGCAAGAGCATCAAGCCTCTTTTTTGGCAGAGTCACCTTCCTTTCCAGACTCACCGGCAGCTGTCCAGCCACACGTCCCCACCCCGCAGCCAGGCTCCATGATCCTGGTTCTTGTAGGCGGTAAAGTGGCGAATGATGGCTGGCTCCCGGGGTTTCAGTGGGTCTGCGTCCTTGTGAGGGCTGTACCTGGAACATGGAAAGACACAGGTGGTATTCCCTCCGGGCTCTGTAAACTGCTTTCCACTCACAGGTCCCAGATAGCTCTGGTTCAACAGATATTCATTGGCACAGGGGACTCTGGCATTAGCAACTTCGCACTTCTCCAAGAGGCAGGAGGTTACAGCTCTATGATCCAGCTCCGTGCAAAGGACAGACAGGCGGTTCACTTTTGCTAATGATCTTGAAGTTTTGACAATATCTTTTTGCTTTCCTGTTTGTTTTTTGTTCGTTTGTTTGTTTGTTTGTTTGTTTGTTTAGACAGGATTTCTCTGTGTAGCCCTGACTCCCCTGGAACTCACTTTGTAGAACAGGCTAGTCTCAAACTCCCAGAGTGCTGGGATTACAACCTTTTAAAAGCAGGTTCTGATCTTCAGCTAGGCTCTGCCTTAACTTATCAGCCTGGCCATTGAATTGTTTATCATTACAGTGCAGCAAATGATTCCTTTCTGATCACCTTTATATCCCAGCCCAGCGTACCACGTGTCCGGGCTCTGGTGATTCCTAATGTTTTACATCCCTGGCCCTGCGGAGGTATGTAGAAGCTGCTAGAAACTTCAGTCTCCCTTTAGCTACTGGAACCTGGATTCTAATTTAGACTTAGTTTAGACTTCTAGCATAGTATGGTGTCTCAACACCTAGCTCAACACCAGCTAGCAAGCACTCAGTAGGTAAAGAAATGCAAGACTGAAGTAGAAGAAAAGGAAGCAAGCTGGGCTAGAGAGATGGCTCAGAGGTTAACAGCACTGGCTGCTTTTTCAGAGGTCCCGAGTTCAATCCTCAGCAATCCTCACATGGTGCCCTACCACCATCCATAATGAGATCTGGTGCCCTCTTCTGGTGAGCAGGTGACCATGCAGACAGAACATTGTATACATAATAAATAAATAAATAAATACATAATAAGTAAATAAATAAATCTTAAAAGAAGAAGAAGAAGAAAAGAAAAGGAAGCAAGTTGAGAGGGTCACATTTTCCCAAGGATTATTACCTGGCAGAGATAATGGAGAGGAAGGGTCGTTTGTCCTTGGCTGAGGCCTCAGTAGTCTTGACTCCATTGTCTATGATCATTCCAGCCTGGGAAGGAAGGACACATTAGGTATTACCACTGCCCACAACCTTCTTTTCACACCAGCTTTTGGATATGCCAATAAATCCAGCATGATTCTCAGACCGTGTCCATGGGAGTAGGCTCTACAGTGAGAGAAGGAGAGAGCCAGCCTCATTCTGCATCTCTCCAACCAGATCTGGGATGAGCAGATGTGTGTGAGGGGGTTAAGAGGGTCTAATCTGGGGCCACATAGCCAATCCCATACACAGAACTCACACCACTTTGGAGAGTTCCAGACCCTCAAGGGTTACAAGTGCACACAAGTGTGTCGGTCTTTCAGATGAAATATTAGGACGCCTCACCCAGGAGGATCTTCTCTAGTTCCCACCATCTACCTGCAAATTTCATCATTTCCTTGTTTTTAATTGCTGAGTAGTATTCCACTGTGTAAATATAACATAACTTCTGTATTCATTCCTCCATTGAGGGACATCTGGGTTGTTTCCAGATTCTGGCTATTATAAATAAATATAAATTTATATTTATATTTAATATAAATATTAATAAAGCTAATATAAATAAAGCTGCTATGAACATGGTTGAGCAAATGTTCTTCTTGTATACTTGAGCCTCTTTTGGATATATGCCTAGGAGTGGTATAGCTGGATCTTAAGGTAGCACTATTCCTAATTGTTTGAGAAAGAGCCAGGTTGATTTCCAAAGTGGTTGTACAAGTTTACATTCCCACCAGCAATTGAGATGTAGTCCATGGCAACTCAGTTTCCAAGTGGACACCGTAGGAAGGGAAACAGGGACTGTCTCTGACATGGACTCATTGGCTGGTTCTTTGATCACCTCCTCCTGAGGCGGGAGCAGCCTTACTAGGCCACAGAGGGAGACAATACAGTCAGTCCTGATGAGACCTGATAGGCTAGGGTCAGATGGAAGGGAAGGAGGACCTCCCCTATCAGTGGACTGGGGAAGGAGCATGGGAGGAGACGAGGGAGGGCAGGATTGGGAGGGGCTGAGGGAGGGGGCTACAGCTGGGATACAAAGTGAATAAATTATAATAAAAATAAAGTTAAACACACACACACACACAAAGAAATACTGGGCTTTTTTTCTCTTTTCTCTTGTATGGGAGTCAGTGATTTCCTACAGCCTGTTCTGGTTCCTGCTTGACTTGAAGAGAAAAGGTAACTCTTATTTCTTCTTCTTTTTTCTTTCTTTTCTCTCTCTTTTTTTAAGATTTTTCTTTTTTGAGACAGAGCCTCATGTAATAGCGGCTGGCCTCAAACTTGCTGTATAGCCAAGGATAACTCTGACTCTCTGTTTCTCCTGCTTCAGCCTCTAGACTGCTGGAATTACAGGTAGCATCTTGTCTAGTCTGTTTGCAAACCCAGGGCTTTGAGCACACCAGGCAAACACTCTTACCAACCGAGCTATGTTTCCGGCTCTGAGCCTGGTTTTCTTATTTGGTGCCAAAGCTGTCCAGTGGACTGGAATAGAAGCGGAAGTTCTGTAGGCCACCATTCAGACCCTTTCGCTCCCAGACCCTGCTCCCTCTCCACCCCACCCCACCCCCTTTGCCTCCCACCCTTGGTCTCCTAGGAGGGCTCACACCAGCTTTGCCTCCGAGTTACTGTTTGTTCTGCAGCTGCCTTTAACTTAACAACAGTGATGACATGACCTTAGGCTCTTGGCTCTATTCTCACAGACTGACACTGGCAAAGTCCCTTCACCTCTTTGGCTAGTCACATCGTCATCTGTACAGCCAGCTAACGACACCTACTTCACAGAGTGGTTGTGGTGAATGACCAAGATGTCTGAGAAACGACCGCACGAGGTGGCTGTGCTGTCGATCTTCCTGTGTAGAAGCATCCAGGATTCAGACCCTACACCCTTTGCTCAGACAGTCAGGCTGGCCCAGCTGTAGCTTCTGCTTTAATTTCTCCTTGCCTGTCTCAGAGGATAAGAACCCCTCCTGCGCTCACAAGTGCTAAAGGGTCCCTCCTACACACACCTACGTCCCTGACTCTGACTCGCCTTCCTATTAGAGATGCTGCTCTTGACTGCATTACTCCCTGCCCCAGCCTCCTTTGCTGCCCAGTCCTGTGGGTCCTCTCATTCAAGTAGGAAATTGGAAGGTCCAGGGAATGGTGGACCCTAGCAAGGGGTCAACGTGTCCTCTCTCCTTCTCTGACACTGATCTGGTCTAAGCACTTGCCTCTGCGTGGAGGCAGCATGACATTCATGAAAGGCCTCATCACAGCTCCCCCAGCCACAAACTCCCCTCCACACTTCTGCAACTGTCTCCCCGCTTGGACTCTGGGACATGACTTGGGAGGTGTCTCTTCTCTCCTCCTCATGCCTCTCTCATCACTGGCTTTTGTTCCCTTACCCCCAGGTTTCAGCACACATCTGCTCTGAGCCTTTGTTGCTTCTTTTCGGGTCTTCTCTCAGCTTCAATTTTTTGAAACAGGTTTTGGTTTCTGTGTGTGAATGTGGAGACCAGAGGCAGATGACTAGTGACTTGTGTTGCTTTCTGTTGTTGTTGTTTTGATAGAGTGTCCTTCACTGAACCTGGAGCTCACTGGCTAACTGGCTGGTCAGAGAGATGTTGGGATCAGCCTGTCTCTGTTTTCCCCAACAGGGATTATGGACATATACTTCTGCTCTCCTGCTTGCAAAGCCAGAACCTTAAATACTGAGCCATCTCACTAGCTCTCTGAAATATCTTCTCTTGACCCTGGATGTACCATTCCTCCCTAGCAGTCCAGTTTCCTTGTCTGCACTGTTAAGAACTGGACCAGATAACAGCTTGTCTGTTCACCATCCCCATGTCCTAGAGACACAGAATGCCACCTTTAGCTCAGCTGTATTCCTCGTTCTCTTGGTGTGTCCAGTGCCTCCAGTCTTAACTATTGGCCCTATGGGAAGGTTCTGGACATGTTGAGGTTGCAGCCATCTCCATAGTTCTCCCTTTTGCTCTAAAACCTAGCTTGGAGCAGGGTGCACACTGGTACTGACTTAGCCCTGCACCGATGGAGCCATCCACTTTCCGGCAAGAGGGGAGAAAATCCTGGATGCCAATGGCACTTCGGAACCATGTCCAGATTGCCCTTAGCTTAGTTCATGTCCAGGGCTAATGTCATTGTCAATATCATTGATGTCCACGTCGGTATCACAAAATAAAATCTGATGTCCGACCCAGCATCTTCCGGCAGCGGAAGCTAGAGTGAAGGCCCAGCTTGCTCCTCTAGCTGTACAGATGCTGCGGATCATGAGGACCCTACAGGAGACTTGTGGTGAGTGGTGAGTGACCTGCAGGCCCTGGAAGGCTGCTCTGGACCCACGATAAGAATGCAGCTCTTCCAGGCTCTAATCACCTGCAGGTTGGGTCAGGGGAATGAAAACGCTGGCCACAGTGGCACAGCATGGAAAGACTTACCCGGTAGTTAGAATGTGCTCGGTTGTTGTAGAATTTCCCCAGCGGACTGTGCTCAGAATATCCTGGGGAATACATTCCCACGGAGGGGCCCGTTGGCACATGGTGAAAAATGAACCAAAATCCAGTTTCCTGTTGGGACAGAGCACAGGAGAACCACAGAAGTTAGTGCCAGTGAGCTCCTGATTGGCCCAGGCTGGGCAATGGATCCAGCACCGTGACCAAACAAGCCATTGCCACACAGCACCAAACACATCCGTGTCATCCAGTGCTTGAGGCTACTGTAATTTGTGGTGTCCACCTTGACATCTCTCACTCTTCACATCATCCCTGCTCTATGTGCCACTGTCTGAGTTAGCGGGACACTGCAGAGATTAGATTCCTGATGGACAGAGTTCCAAAAGCAAGTGTTGTTATCAGTTTTCCTCGGAGATCTTGAAGCTGAGCCCAGAAAGAGCAACAGACAGGGTCAGGGGTGAGGCTCCGAGCAGTGAGGCAGAGGAGAGCTGGATCAGATCAATGTTGTTGGAACAGAAAGAACATGGTGCTTGTTGCCTAGCTGACACCACCCTAGCTGTACGGGGCTCTGGACACACTAGGTCTCCTGTCTTAGCTTTCCCCCTAGCCCAGGTTGTAGCACTTATATCAGAATCACTTGGTGTTAGTGTACAACACCAACATACCAGGTACCATCCTAAGGCAAAATGACTCACTCTATAATGAATTACTGTGCGTACATTGCTTAGTATTCTGGGATGGTTTGGGTATGAAATGTCCCCCACAGGCTCGTGTATTTGAATACTTGGTGTCCAACCAGTGGTTCTGTTTTTGGAGGTTATGAAACCTTCAGAATGGGGAGACAAAATGGAGGGTGTGGTACATTGGAGGTGGGACTTGAACATTACAGCCTGGCTCCACTTCCTGCTTCCTGTCTTGTCTTTTTTTTTCCTAATTTTTTTTTTTTTTTAATTTTTGATGCATTCATTCTTCAGTTGAAGGACATCTAGGTTGTTTCCAGTTTCTGGTTACTGTGAATAAAGCTTCTATGGACATAGTTGTGCAAATGCCCTTGTTGTATGGTAGACCATCTTTTGGGTATAGGCCCAGGAGTAGTATAGCTAGGTCTTGAGGTAGAACTAGTCCCAATTTTCTGAGAAAGTGCCAGATTGATTTCCGGAGAGGTTGTGCAAGTTTGCACTTCCACCAGCAATGGGGGGGGGGGGGGTTTCGCTTTCTCCACATTCTCGCCAGCATGTGTTGTCACTTGAGTTTTAGATCTGAAGCATTCTGACTGGTATAAGATGGAATCTTAGAATCGTTTTGATTTGCAATTTCTCTGATGGCTAAGAACATTGAGCCATTGAGCATTTCTTTAAGTGTTTCTCAGCCATTTGAGATTCCTCTGTTGTGAATTCTCAGTTTACCTCTGTACCCCATTTTTCAAATTGGATTATTTGATTTGTTGATATTTATTTTCTTAAGTTCTTTGTATATTTTAGGTATTAGCCCTCTGTCTGATGTAGGGTTGGTGAAGAGCTTTTCCTAATCTGTAGGCTGGGAATCTGTTTTGTTCTTTTGACAGCATCCTTTGACTTATAATGTTTTGTGTGTACAAGTGTTTTGTTCTCATGTATGTCTGTGTACCACATGTGTACCTGGTACCCACAGAGGTCTGAAGAAAGCCTAGGATTCTCCTGAAACCGGAGTTATGGATGGTTGTGAGCCACCATGCAGATTCTGAAAATCAGACTCAGAGCCCGTGCAAAAACAAGTACTCCGCCACAGAGCCTCTCTCCAGCACCTCTTACTGTGTCTCCATCCACCCAGATGTGCACAGGCTCTCACTGTCACAGCCACAAGTCCCTCCTGCCACAACACCTTCCCCACTACCATGGACCGTATTCCCTTATGCCACAAACCAAGATAAGGGACTCACTAGCTACGGTCACCAGGTGGTGACCAGGTGGTGGGTAGAACTGCCATTTAAAACCAAGTCACAAGACTCCCATCTCCCATCACACAGAGGAGTGGTCTTGAGCTCTAACCATCGCATTTCCAGGGGTGGGGGTGCCGGAAGGGCTCTGCCAGCCCCACCTTGCTTATTTCTGCTTACCTCTGTAATGGAAGTTTTGGTGTCTTTGTAAACTCAGTTATGTTGTGTAAATAATGCTTTGTTTTAATCCCAAGCGTGGAATTTTAGTTTGTCCACAGCTGTTAATTTTCTCGTGCAGGGTGTGGTTTTTACGGTGGTAACGGCCTTCCACAGGCAGCACGGAGAGGGGCGTGGGCTAGGACTCCGAGGATATAATAGGAGAGCCCAGAAAGAGTGGTGTGGTGCGTGAGGTTGGCATGGGGTGAGTGGAAGTCTGAAGAGAACAGAGACGGGTGGCGGCAGTTGGGAGCAGGCAGGAGGAAAGACTTCAGGGTGCAGCGGAGTGGGGCAGACTCCTCGCTGCTTTTGCTGTTGACGGAAGATTGGTATATCCTCCTAAAAGAACCCCTTGACTCTAAACGGCCAGGAAAAGTAAAGGGGTCTTGCGCCCCATCTTCCCACTAGCCTTCTCTCTCCTACCCAGGGTTGGGGGGCTGGCGGAAAGGAGGTGGAGGCCTAAACACCCCAAATAAAATAGTTTAAAAGATAACCGCTACATACCTCGGACCCTGCAGCTGCGCAGTTGATGAGATTGTTGTTAGGATTCGCCATCCAGAAAGTCGACACAGCACTGCAGGGTGGGAATAGAGGTGGAGCGGAGTCACGTAAAGGATGAGAGCTCGTGTGAGACACCAGTCTTGGTGAAGCCTCTTCATCTGCGGCTCCGTTTTCTCACCAAACGGCAAAGCATTTACGCTTGTATACTGTTAGGGGCTGGAAGAGCTAGGTGTAGTTTGTACTTCTGCAGAATCTTGAATGTGAGTCCAAGAAAGCAGACCTTTCTATAAAGGAGGTCATCTGTGCAGGAAGTGATGTGTCTCTGTGCACATCTGCCGCTCTGTCTGTCTGTGTCTCTCGTCCGTGTCTCTTGTCTCTCCTTTTTGTGTTTCTCTGTCCTTCTGTCTCCATGTCTCAGTGTCTGCCTGCATTTCTCCCTTTATTTCTCTGTCTTTGCATCTCTGGCCTCTCAGTCGTTTTCTGTTTTTCCCATATCTGTCTTCTCTCTGTGTGTGTCTGTCTCCATTTTTCTGTCTCTCTGCCTCTTTGACGTTCTGTCTGAATTTTTCTGTCTTTGCCCTTCTGTGTCTCTTTGTCACAGGGTGTCTCTCTCTGGTTAGAAGGAGATTACTGTGGTACTTCATACTGCAAGCTGATGTGATCGCTGCTTCCTGCCCACAAGATGCTATGTGGTATAGAGCTAAGGTGAGCCAGCGTTCTCCTGACAAAACAGTGCTACTGAGGCTCACAGAGGGGGGAGAGGGGAGAGGGAGGAAGGAGGAAGGAATATGGAGGAGGGAGGAGCTACTCTTGGGACCTCATTCTGAGAAGCAGACAAAGGTGAGCAGTAAGCTTTTAAGGGTCCTCTTAAAGGCCCTGAGGCAGGATGCTGAATGTTCACGCTCATGCCCCCCACCCTCCCACCCACAGGCCCAAGTGCAGGGAAACCCTTCAGTACTATGTGCATGCTTACTTGCAGTCCTGCCTGGGCTTGGGGATGTACCCTGGGTATGAGTCCTCTGTAATCACTTTGCACATCCTGCTGTCCCGATCCGATGGGAGGAGGGTCCCTGACTTTACCAGGAGGCCAAGGCAGTGGTCAAAAGTGTTTCGTTCCTCTGGCCCATCTTCAGTGAAGAAGCAGTGGCCCAAAGAATTATAGCCCACAACATCCTTGATCTGCAGGGTCAAAACAGGAGTTTTACTCAGCACCTAAGTGTGAATGTATCTACATATTTATTCAATAAGCATGACATAGGGCTGAACTGTACCAGGCCTGAGTGGCCTGGGAGATAGGGGCAACCTTGACCCCAGGCAAGGTAGATGAAAAGACAATGGACAAGGAATAGAGTGATGACAACCCTTCTGGTTGGACATGCTGGGGATGGGGCTTCAATGGATAAGAAGGGGGTGAAATATCAGAAGTATGAAGGTGGGTTCAAGGGGACACCCAGGCATGGGTTCCAGAGACTATTCTACTGAGGACACAGCTTTCCAGAACATCCTGGAAGGTTCTCCAAGGCCTGAGTGAGGGCAGAGTAGCTCCCCCAGGACACTGTACCACAGGAGGCCTGGAGGACCTTTCATAAAGGTCTAAATGAATACACTTTTTTTGTCTGTTTTTTGTTTTGTTTTATTTTCCAGGCAGGGTTCCTTTGTGTAGTCCTGACTGTCCTGGAACTTGCTCTGTAGACCAGGCTACACTTGAACTCAGAGATCCCATTGCCCTCTGCCTCCTAAGTACTGGGATTAAAGGCATGCACCACCACCACCCAGCAACACTATTGTACTTTTATGAGCCTTGCGAACTAAGCCAGTTTGTTAGCTAATGATGCCCACTAGGATTCTTTTGTACCCTAGGCTGACAACCAGAGAGGGCTAGTAAATCCAGCTCCTGTGTCACCTTCCTGAATAGAAAGTCAGAAATAACATTTTGAGAGCAGGACGTGGTCTCTGCTCCAGCCCCAGGAGGATCTTATACCAGCCTGCCTACCTGGCTTAGTCACCAGCACAAAGCCCTGGGCTTGGCCTCCATCCTCTCCAGGGCCTCAGAGTTCTTAGATTCCGTCCTGAGCCCAGTTCCCCATTTGCTCTGACGATAGTGTCTCTGCCACATGGGCTCTTGCTTTGGTTCAAACACCCCTGAGAGGAGATACTCTCAGCTCACAAGGTACAGCGGATGAAGATGGGAACACTTCACACATCTTTAATATGTTCCTCCATCCCTGACTGTCCAGTGACTTTACCCAATGAGATCTTCCCTGCTTCCCTGTGACCTCAGATCAACCCACACCTCTTCAGGAGCTGCCGCTGTGCCAGGAGCTGGAAAATCTGTACACTATCCAAATGCCCTCGGCACAGACTGAAATATCAAGGCCATGCCCTCAGCTCTGCTGCCACTACAAGGGACTGTCTTGCTCGCTGTAGGGCACTCAGTAACACTGGTCTGGCCTTGCCAGATGCCAGTGTCATCCCCCCAACACAACCCCCCTCTTCCGCAAGCTGTTTCCAGACTATCATTACTCAGTAGTCCACTGTGTAGGAGGGGTGACAAAACTGTCTGACGGAAAAGCATTGGTCCAAGGTGGACAACCCTGGTCCCTCCAGGCTCTCACGTTGCAGGTGCCTGCTCCCTATCTGCCAGGCAGTCAGCGGTGAGAACCATCAAACATCAAACACCATCAAACACACAGCAAACCCCTGAGTGACTGAACGCTGGCTGGTCTCTTAGACCTTTTAATCTCTCTGCAATCTTACACAATCCTCTTGCAAGTTTTGCTTTAGAGATGAGGGAAATGAGGCTAGGAGAAGCTAAGCAAGTCCAAGATCACAAGGCCTAGTGGGCAAAGCCACGGCAGGGGCATTTGGTTTTTCAGGCCTGTGCATTCACTCTGTAAGGGAAGAGCACACAGCCTGCTTACATCAGGCAAGCTCTCTTCCTCATAAGCAAGCATCCTGCCTTTAATCTTTGGCAACAGGCAAGGGCATGACCTTGAAGCTCATTCACTCCTTCAATGGGCATTTCAGTCAATGCCAAGGTCATCCAGTGGGATGTTTCCTTCTCTCCTAGTGAGAAATGAAAGCTTGTTATAAATAGCTCAGAAAGACAAGCCTGGGAGGGGATGCGGCTGTTCTTGCTGGCAGAGACCTCTAAGATCAAATTCAACGTCTGGATTTGCAGAGGAGGAAACCATGCCCAGAGAAGGGATGTGGGGTATCCCAGGGAATTTGGTACCTTAGAGTCTCCTGTCTTCTGCTCATTCTCTCTCTAACTTGTCCCTACCATTTTGCCCTGAACTTTCAATTCAGATCACACGTTCAAGGGCCCTTCTCTGAAAGTGAATGAATGAGTCCGGAACATTTTTTCTAACAAACACTCAAGGAATAGCTGGCCTTTAAGACCTGTGAGGGCTGCGGCAAAGAGAAAGCGCTTCACTAGAAGAAGGAAGAAAAACGGCTGCTGTTGCTGGATGCCCAGTGCCTTACACACGTTATCATGTTTCAACCTTATCTCAATGGACACCACTTGACTTGGGTGTCCCATGCCCCTTTGCAAGGCTCCAGCTCAGACTTAATTTCCATGAGCAGACAGACACATCCACTGCCCCGAGGGTGCAGTGAGTCTGGCAGAGTCAGCAGAAAAGCAGGACAAGGGAGAACAAAAATCTGGCACAGGAGATGAAGCGTAATTCACATCATTACTTAGCCACAGACCTACTCTGTTACTTACACAGTCTGAGTATCCCTTGTATAGATTGAGGAGATGCTGAAAACATTTTCAGATTGTTCTTCTTAAAACGTTTTACGGAATTGACTATTAGTGATAATAAGTGAATGGATTGATACATAGGTGGGTAGGTAGGTAGATGATAGATAGATAGATAGATAGATAGATAGATAGATAGATAGATAGACAGAGATAGTGGATAGAAAAATAGATATGGATGCTAGGTAGATAGGCATGTAGGTAAATACACGAACAGATGGACAGGAAAGATAGGTAGCTGATACATGGATAGGAATATAGATTTATTTAGATAGACAGAGCAGCTAAATAAATACTCCCTCCCCCAGTGGGGCTGCCCTTATATGCTAAGCAGAAAGCATCCCTAAGACCCCTGCCATTCTCTTTGAGAAAGTGACACTATATTTCCCCTTTGTTTTTCTGGATATCTTTTTGCCTGCTGATAGTTGCAGTTCATGATTTCTGGAGGCTGTTTCAAGTCTTTCCCTGTAGTAGGGTCTAGGCAGGAGACTGTAAAGGAAGAAATTTCTAGGTTTTGCCTGGTAATGAGAGACCCAGAAACAGATGTCAGGTAATGCTTCAACTAGTGTGAGCCTCTAGTTGCCATTGAGCCACAGCATTGTTAGGGTGGGGGTGGAGGCAGGTGCTGGCACTAGAACTAGAGGAGGCTGGCAAGAGGCAGTCCTAGGCCTGAAGACTGCTCTGGTCGCCCGAGTCTGACCTGGCTTCCATCAGCAACTTGTGTACTCTAAGAAGAGTGGTGCTTCAATTAAACAAGCACAAGCAGAAACGAGTGGATTGGTTGACTCTCTGGATATGCAGGATTCCACTATAGAGTCAGTCAAGATAGGACCATAAATATTTCTTTAAAGAAAAGAAATACATATATACATGATATATGATACATGTATGCTATTTTATGATATATGAATGATATATATGCATATATATCAGTAAGATGCCTCACAGAGAATTCACTCATTTTAAAAAGAAAAATTGTTTTTAGGCTTCTACCATTATTTAAAAAAAAATTAAAATAAAATTCCTGAGGAGAAGCTGGCCTTGGAGCACAGGCAAGGGTCATTTGTTTTACAGATCTTAATGAATTTTTGAATATGCAAATAGAAGTTGAGGAAGGAAACAGAACAAAACACTACCTAAAAAGGGAAGGAATGCTTCCAAGCCTGTGCAGGGAAGGTAGGGAGGGGTGGGGAGCAAGGATGGGGGTGGGGGGCAGAGCTCAGGAGATGGGTGCTGTCTGAGGTAGAACATGTGACCTGGAAAGGGCCAGTGAGACCAGAGGGACCTGCCACTGTCTCCTACACCGTCAATTCCTGCTCTGATCTGTACATTCCCTAGCTTCCTTTTCATCGCAACCTCAGTCTCCCAGGAGAGCCCTGGACTGAGGTAGCTCAGTGGGAAAGGAAAGATAAAAGTCTGGGCCCGACATCTAGGCTCAAGTGGAAAGGAAAGAAGAGAACAGCCACACAACTTGACAAGTGAGAGGACATTTTCAAAGACACCAGAAAAGGGGTCAGCCAGAGAAAATGGAAATCTCTCCCACAATTCTCAGGGCTGTGCAGCTGGCAGGGAGGATGCTGGGATTCCCAGTCCTGGGCTCCAGCTGTCTTTAGTAGAGTGCCAAGAGAAAGCTGTGGCCCCAGGGATCGAGAGCCTAGGGACTGACTGAGCATAGCCTGCGAGGAAGCAGTTGCAACCTTCTGGGCTCATCTTGGTTTCATAGCACTGGCATTCATAATAAAGATAAACTGTGAGCAAGTCCCCAGGTGGGAAAGGATGCTCAGTCCTCCTGGCTTAAAGAAAGGAGGCAGAAGAGATTAGAGCTCATTCTCGGGGTTTTTGTACCTCTTGCTACTGGCCAGGAATGTATTGCCTTCCAGTGATGGGAAGGCAATGTTCAAGGTCCTGCCTTGGAGCTCAAAATACACGTGAAGATGGCCTGAGCCAGTTTTCCTGTGGTCCTGCAGAGGGTTTATGCAGAGCCTCTCTTTGGGGACCATCTTCCATCCTATACCTGAGAGCATCTTGGGGATAAGAAGGCAGGCTTCCTCTCTGCACCTGTCAGGGCGCCTTGCTGCTCCCTCCATACTGCCAGAAGGATACTCTCAGCAATGTTACTATCACAGGAGATATCCCTACAGCTTCCCTCCATGGACTCAGTACAGTGACTTAGCAGCAAAAGCAGTATGAGAAAGGGGCTCTGATGAGGGCAGGCATTGCTAATAGATCAGTCAGCTTGGGATGTTTCCACTGAAGACCCTTCCCAAGTAAGCATGCATTGCGACTTTTCAAAGTGGCAGGGAGGGAGTGCATGTACGCAGTGTTTGCCAAAAGCAGCGAACGACTCTGCCCCCACTTTTTGGTGGGGACATATGCTGCTATCTCCCGGAAGCAGAGGTGTTTTCACAGACCACATAGAGACACAGAGGCACACAGGGATACAGCTATTCAATGTCCTCTCGAAGCACATCACTTGTGATACCGGGTTTCATCTCCTAACTACCCTTTGAAGCTGACTTTATCAGCATTTTCATAATGCGCTGGAGGAAACTGAGGCCTAGAAAGTTTCCATTGGTTCCTGTGACTCTGGGCTTGTGACTTTTGAACTTCTGTCAAGACTCACAACACTGACATAGAGAACAAAGAGACGCATGAACTGAGAGGACAGTGGTTTACCTAACTCAGTGGCACTTCGAAGTTACATTGCTGAAAGCCTTCCCCCAAATTCAGAAGAAAGCAGAAGTCAAAGAGCTTGTGTTTGTTTTGTCAGAGGGAATTGGTTTAAACATTGAGCTAGAAGGTGCTAGAGAGGTGGCCTGGTGATTAAGAACACTTGTTGATTTTTCAGAGGCCTCAGGTTCAGTTCCCAGGGCCCATATCATGACACACAACCATCCCTAACTCCAGTTCCAGTTCTAATGCCTTCATCTGGCTTCTGTGGGTACCAGGCAGGCACATGATATACACACATCGCATTCAGTTCAAAGACTCACACACATAAAATCATAAATGGAAGGAAGGGGTTGCCTGAGGCAGAGTGAGGATGAGGGAAGTTGGCTCCCAAGGATGGGGGGTTCACAGGAGAAAGAGAAGAGCTGTGAAAGAGTGCTTCCTGCACGGAGCAAGGTACTGGGGTACCTCTCAGCTCCATAGAAAGAAGGAGCCCTTCTTTCTAGTGACCTGGAGTGCCGCTTGTCTGGGATCTACACACCTCTGAGCAGGGAAGATGCTAGCAAAATGCTTGCACACACACACACACACACACACACACACACACACACACACACATCAGCCATGGCCTCAGCCTCTGCAGTCTAAAGCACTATAGCATGTTTGTCTCTATATGGCTTCTTTCAGTTCTGTCAATTGAATTGTCACCCTCCTTTCTCCCCTGAAAACATAGTCACCCACTGGTAAACCCATCAATCCAGGCAGCAAAGAAAAGCACAGCAAGGTCAAAGGGCAACTCCCACAGCAGCAGCTTTCTGGAACTCCATACAACTGCACTTTCCAAGAGCACTCCAAGCCAATCCATAAAACTTCTGGTCTGTCTGGGATACTGGCCACACTGCTGCCTGCTTGGCTCAGAGAGCTAAAGACCCGGATACCATCTCGATGACAAGCAATGCGATTTGTTTCCATCTTGGAAAGGGTGAAACAGGGCTATGCCTCCAGGTCTATCTCGACATGTTGGCCAGCTCAGAACTGAGTGGTGGTAGATCCCAGAATGGCCACTAGATTAAGGTTGTAACTGGCACCTCAACCACGTGTTAGCTGGATGACAAGGGAGCTGAGAGATATTCTTTCCCAATTTGGCAGCTGGCATTCCTGCGAGCTGGGCAGGAGGAAGCCTTTGCTTACACTGTTGCACAGATCTTCTGGCTGGGTGAAGGAGTCCAGTGTTCTGCTGTAAGGGCCCGACTCTACTGTAGGTACCATCGACATATCTAACTGTCTGTCCATGCCAGATCTGGAAGGTGGGATGAGTGCCTTTACTCACCACCTTCCCTTTCCTACCATAAGTCTCTTGATTCCCCTACCTGAGATGACACAGACTCCTGGGGATGGCCCCATGCCAGCTCCAGAAGCCTGTGTCTCACTGACATGCTGGCTCTCCTTGTCGTCCTGTTGGGAGTCCCACATGCCTGCTCAGCTTCCCCAGTGAGAGCCTGTTCTGTGGTAAGACCTGGACTCCCTGCTCTGAAGATGGGTTGCTAGGATACTACAGCCGGAAACATTTCACTCTCATCTTCCACCCAAGAAAACTGAAAGGTAACACTGTGTCCTGCAGGGCTCACAGGGGAAAAAAGGGTGTGTGTGTGTGGGGGGGGGGGAGACCTGACTGATTCAGTAGTTGTCCAGGTCCACACTGGAAGTAGGTGAAAAAGCACAGCTCGAGATCTCCCTTCACCTGTATGGCCTAAGTGTCTAGACAGCAGACCCTTCCTGCAGGCACTTACCAACAGACCATTGGAGCCATGGACAGTGACACAGCGGGAGAATGTGTGGTGGATGGAGAGGTCCCTGATGTACGTAGGTGGGTCATAGCCTCCCTGTTCGTCCAAATCTCCAGCCAGATGGAAGTGAATTGGGTACTGGCCCACCAGCTGCTGCCCCATGTACTTCAGCTCCACGCCCTCCAAGTGGGCTGCTTTGAACCCCAGTGCAAACTGCAACAGGAAAATGAAAGTCAAAAGAGCCCCAAGGCAGCCCCGTGCCCCCCTCCCCCAGCTGATGCCTGCGTCCCCACAGGACAGAGGTGTTGCCTTCCTACTGCTTTGTCGCTGGGTTTAACTGAGTACCTCCTGGTTATTCAATATATCAAAGAGGCTCTGTGCACATGGCTAAGGATGCCCGGCCCTTCTCATACTAAGGGAGTCCAGCAAGGCTTTACAGGATAACAGGCTCTTTGGATTGGAAATGCCCAGGACAATAGGTAGGCTTGCTTTGATCTTCCCTTGCAGTCTCCATAGCCAACAAGGGGGAAGGGATAATCTTAAAATGCTTAGTGAGCAGGGGTGGCATAAAACCTGCCCTCAGAATGCTGGAGAGTGGAGGGCCCACCGTATTATTGTTTACTGTGTGAGACCTTCTGGGGGCGGGGGAAGGAGGTGCTGATTCTGGAGACAGCATGAGCCTCTGCTCTGGGGACACACGTATGAGTGGCAGGTGGTCAGAGCAGAGGGCTGCTCCTGGATGTGCTCAGGGGAACTGCTTGGCTGGACGATGTCTGCATTCAAGGAACAGTCTAGAGTGACAGGTGTCAGAAGTCGGCTCTGCCAGCTTCTTCTCCAGTGGAGCTGGAGTCTGACATGCTGACCATTGCTCCCAGATTCAGGGATCAGCTGGACCGCTAGTCTAATGCCAGTGCCTGGAGAGCTGTATTAAGAAAGAATGACTCTGACCATAGCTTGGGCTTCCTGGGCAAGCAAGACGGTCCCTGTGACTCAGGACCATTCTCAAGATTTGGAAGGGCTGCAGTAGCTTGTGTGACAGAGAAGTGCTGTTTCCTCTGGATCTCCCTACATTCTCGGGTACAGTCAGTAGTGACAAGGGGCAGAAAGCACCCATGGACTGTGGAGTGGAGACTCTAGAATTCCTAAAACATAGACCTGTACCATAAGACTCTCCCCACTTAAAAGGTCAGCAGTGTTCCCACTGTGAATGCTCTGTTTCTCTCCACCGACCTCTTCGTTTACATTATTAAAAAGAATCACAGCGCATGTGCTTAGCCTCAGGAGAACTCTTTATACAAAATTCATTTTGGTGCATTGAAACCAATGGCCGTGTGAAGAACATGGAGGAACACACAGGACATAAAGGAAGTTTTGTACAGAGATAAATTCCTCTTTGAGCTGGCTAGTAGGAGAATGCGGACTCGGATGAACTAGGCTTGTTTTTGCGGCTTTGAGAGGCCTGCTGCTGCTGGTCTTTATAGACCACTGCCTCTCCACCTTCCTAACTCTGAGACCCCTTAATACAGCTCCTCCTGTTGTAGTGACCCCCAACCATAGATTTATTTTCATCACTACTTTATATCTGTAACTTGGCTGCTGTTATGGATTGTAAACTATCTTTGTTTTTCTATAAACCCAATGTAAATATCTGGTATGCAGCCCCCATGAAAGGACTGGTCATGAAGACAGGGGCTGAGAATCATGAAGACAGGTTGAGAATCACTGTTCTGCTCTCTACCGGGACCAGGTACGTTCAGTGCTGCATTGCTGCTTCCTGCCTGCTGCTGGTTGTGTGGTCTGTATTATAATGGCTCTGTCGAGAGAGTGTGTGTGTGTGTGTGTGTGTGTGTGTGTGTGTGTGTGTGTGTGAGAGAGAGAGAGAGAGAGAGATGGGTTGGTGGTACACATCTGTCGTCTCAGTACTTGGGGAGGTGGGAGAATCTTAAAATTGAGGCCAGCTTGGGCTGCATGATCACACCTTGTATCAAAAAGAAAAAAAAAAAAAGAAAGAAATATAAACACACCAAAAGCAAAATCGAAAAAATGCCCAAGGATAAATAACAGAGACAAGGCCGAGGCAATGAAGTAGAACGCAGCATGGCATGTGGCCTCAGTCCGAGAGCGATTCCCCATCATTTCTGACAGGTACACCTGTGCGCCATTGGTAAAGCAGACACCTAGCAGACATCCAAGGGTGCACTTCTCTCCCTAGCTCTCTGCTCCACCATCCCTTTCCCTCCTACGAGTCTCCGTCCAGAGGGAGAACTTTGAATACCCTCCTGTAGTGCTAAGAGCCTCAGCCAGGCAGATCCCTACCTTGATGTGGCCTCCAAAGGTATCGAAGTCAAAGAAGTCACAGATGTGGTTGCTGTAGGGGTAGCATTTGTCCTCCATCTCTCCCATCACCACGATGTTCCGAGTCAGGAGTCCAACCTCGGCCCGCATGTCCACGCCATCAATCTCCTCCCCAGTATGTAGGTACTGTGGCTTCCCTAGGGTACAAGAGGGGTGAGGAAGCGGAATAGAAGGTGAGCATGTCTGCTGTGTTCCCAGCCTATACCCTCACGGTGGTGGCTTGCTCTTCACTCATGGTGGGCCCCATGGCCCTTGTTCCCATGATACAGAAGAACAAAGTTCAGGTAGGTGTAGTCACATGCCTACAGGTGCTTAGGTCTGGCAGGTGTGGCTACTTGCCCTATAATATCTACCCTTCTTCTGGCTCTCAGACTCTTCCATGATTCATCTCACACATGGCTTCCCGGTGGAGCTGTGTCCCCCACCTCTCCACGGTGAGGTGCGGCCACGGGATGCGGGTACAACAAGTGCTAGATGTAACCTTGGGTTACCTCTCTTGTTCTCCGGCCTGGTGGGCCAACCTCACCCAGCAAGGAAAGACAGCCCACAGTAAAGAATTGGCAGAGCAGAGCGAGCGAGAGAAAGAGAGAGAGAGAGAGAGAGAGAGAGAGAGAGAGAAGACCCAGTCTCCAGATGACTCTTCAGAGCTTTGTACTGTAGCTGCCCTCCAGCCATAATTCTTAGGATAGAACAAACTTTCTTCTTTTAGACCCCTGCTCCTGAGCAGGGCAAACTCATGCTCTACTCTCAGCAGCCTTGAGGAGGAAGGTCAGGCTGTCGTTCCTTGCCCCTGTGGTCCCACAGGGAGCAATGGGGAAGACTTTGACCCAACTCTGTGCTGATTTCCTTCTGCATCCCTCAGAAGAGGCATTCCCGGGGCCATGGAGCCTAGCCCTGTCCTGTGGCACATTCGGAAGGCATTGATTCCAGATGGTAGTCCTTTCCAGTCCAGCCATCTCATTCTTCATCTGCATTTCTTATGTTTTCTGCCCTCAACCTTCCCCGGGGCCTCCCTACCCTTGAGAAAAATCTAACAAACCAAACACCCTCCCACACTCAATCCAGTCCCTGTCCTGTGTGGCCTGAATTCTTGACCCTGTGTCCTGCCCATGCTCTCCTTCCCACTACCTCACCCCTTCTCTAGCCAAATTCCCTTAGTGTTACCTCCCATCTCTTCTTCCTCCATCTGTGCAGAAAACATAGCCTAAGACAGGCTCATCATTAAGATGGCCGACAGCTTGTGGATACTTTCTCTTTCATTGGAGGACACAATTACAGAGAGCAACACTCTCCCACATTGACTTCCAGCCCAAACCACACCACCTACACCACTTAGCTTTTCACTCTGACCTTGACTGGATAGAAGAGTCCCTTGCCTGGGCCCTAACATACTACTAGTGCCTACGAGTGAAGAACACAGATAAAATTAGCACTATTCACCTCAGAAACCTTCCTATGCTTTCTTGTCCTCAGGAAGAGCTGACCCCTGCCCTCCCTTTCACCTGGCACACATCCTGGGGTAAGGAAGCCTATGGTTTAAGAATTCTGCAGGCTCAGTGAGACAGTGGTTTCTTTGAAGCAATATGACATTGTTGCATACTAACGCTGAGAAAACAGCTCCAGGCAAGTGAATGGTATGTGTTTTCTATTGCAGCTGTGACAGATTACCACAGGTTCATTTTTTTTTTTTCTTAATCCTGGAGGTTAAGATGTCTGAAATTAATTTTCTGGGGTGAGCCAAGGTGTTGGCAGGGCTGCTTGCTTGAGAAGGTACCACAAAGAATATGCTTCTGGGCTTCTTTAGATTGCAGTGGCTACCTGTATTCCTTGTCTTGTGACCTCCATCTTCCATATTTTATTACTACTTCATCTGCGTCCTTCCGTTGCTTTCTCCTCTTTAATCTCCCATAGTCCTTCTTATCTGATAACCTCTGCTATTACATTGGACCCACACAAATATCCCAGGACACTCTCCCATTTCCGGAACTTTAATCTAGTCATTGTCAATCCTCTCCCCCCCCCTCTTTTTTTTGTCATGTGAAGTAATGTTCACAGAGACTAAAGATCATGTCATAGATTCAGCCTACTACAGAGTCCAGACATAGTGTCAGTCAGCTTTCTGTTACTAAAAGTAATATCTGGGATAAATGAATTTAGAAAAAAGAAAGGCTTATCTCAGCTCATAGTTTCAGAGATGCTAAGTCATGACCCATTGGCTACGTTGCTTTGGCCTGTGGTGGCACATCATGGCGGTTGTATATGGCAGAGGAAGTCTATTTACTTTGTGACCAGGAATGAAACTAGGACAGGTAGAGACAAGTATCTCACAGTCTTCTTCTAAGACATGTCCCTAATGAACGTAAACCTTCCATTAGGTTCTACCACCTTCCAACTGTTCCACACAGTGTCTGACATCACTAGAAAGATAATTATGAACAAGTTAACTACAGAATGCTGGGCCTCTTCCTCCCTGAACCCACAATAGCTTTTGGTTTGGGTCACAGGCTATGTGTTATCTTTACTGCTTTGAAGTCCTCTGGCCATTCATGTAGAAGCCTCTGCTTCTATCCTCATTGGTCTCCCTGCCTATTGGTTCTGTGGCCATCATCAACAAACTAATCAGAGGGCCTTTCCTGAAAAGGGCAAAGCCTGTCCTCGAAAGTGGTGTTCATGGTTTCTGAGGGTCACTGGCTTCACAGAGCCATACAGAGGCAACATGAAGCCTGTCTGGTGGCTGAAAAGGAAGGAGACTCAAATTCAGAAAGAGACATTCTGGAAGTTGACTCAGGTCATCTCTAATTGTGATATCTCAGCCATAGCCTGTTTTCTGCCATCCTTAAGCTAGCTTTTGATTTCTTCATGAAGATGTAGAAGGTTAGATATTGGTGAGCCCGGAGGAGGATATAGGGACATGACTGTCACAAGGTATGATAGAGAGTCTGTTTTTCTTTACAACTGGATACTGGCTCTTGGGCTGAGGGAGTCTTGGAGCCTGGGACTAGCACAGGAATTTAATTGGAGGAACCTTTCTAGGGGATGTTTCTCACTGGAGATGGGGTATGAGTGTTTATTGCCTTACCCCATTTCTCGTTCTTTGTGTCTACTTTCTTTTGGTTGAAACCAATCAGACAGATTTCTTCTCTTGCTGCCATGCCTTCATCATTATAACCTCTATCCCTAAACTGTGTAAGGCACAGTAGAAACAATTGTTTGGCAGTGCTAAGACATTTTGCTAGCCTGATGTTTTTATTTTTATTTGTTGCTATTTTTTTTAAAGACGGGTTTACCTTCTGAAGCCATGGTTTTTCTGAAAGTAATTATGTAGACTAAGGTGGCTTTGAACTCAGATCTGCCTTCCTCTGCCTCCCAATGTGCTGGGCCAACATGCTTAGCTCTGTGTAATGCCTTTCTCCTTTGACTTGATGATGATTCTTTACGGAGGCTCTTTACGGAGGTCCCTCTTTCCAGAGCCTATTTACTTTCCAGTTACCCTTGACTGTGGCTTTGAGGGCTGAGTAGGTCACTGTATGTCTCTGTGTCCTTTATTTATGCTGACCACAGGAGTGTGCTGCTGTAACATCTCTTCAAGAAGGACCGAGCAGCCACCCTCCAACCACTGTTCCTTCTATCCTAGCTCATGCTGTCCCAGGTGACAGGGCTAGAGTAGCCCCTTCCAGTCTTTGTTCCAGAGTGTCCTGTTGGTTCACTCCAGCTGGCTCAGGGTTTCCCTGAAAGAAGAGGTCCATCTGACTGATCTCCAGCCTTCCTTCTGCGCTTCACATGTGTCTGACCTGCATGGTGGTCTACAGACCCCGAAGGATCCTCACATGCACCTTGCTGGAGGCCTGCCTCTTACATGTCTATTGCTGTCTACATCCGTCTTCCTTCCCTCTTTGCTTTGTCAGCGGAGGGCCTTTGCTCTTTTGTCTGCTCTCCCAAACACCCCAGCTCAATATGCAGACAACAGGGCCTTCTTACAAAGCTAGGTATCTGTCCCCAAGAACATCTGGAATCCTGGTCTTCTCTTCTTCCCTAGTGGACACCCCAAGAGGCAGTGTTTTGACAAGGCCCAGGAAAACTCTCAAAGAATTTCTCAACCAAGCAAGATAGCTTGGAGCTGTGTGAGGGTTATAGAGGGAAGACTGACTGCTACTGCCCCAGACAAGTAATGGGCATTCCTTTGGGTCCCGAGAGGTACAGTATAGAGTTGGCTTCCCAGAAGATGTCCCCAGAGGACTAGACTTGTTTTGGGAACAGGTGGCACAATGAGCAGATGTCTCTGTCACAGTAGCTTTGCCCCTGTCTAATAGTCCAAGGTGGATGGAGCAGACACCTGGCTCTTGGTGGGCTCAGCCCTTTCATTCCCATACACCCTCTTTAGTAACACCATCAGGCTGGTGTTACTTCCTGAGAGTCTAAGAGTTCCCATCCACCTGGTTGCCTCTACCCAGACACTGTTTCTCAGGTTCTCAGCCAGGCTATAACTCAGTTTGCAATAGAGTCCTGGAGCCTATAGTTTAAGCTCCCTGAAACTCAGGCCCTTCATCTATGAAGCGAAGATAAAAATAGCTCACATCACAAAAGGTAGCTAGATCATTAAGTCAGTTAATCCATAGACTGTGCTTAAACAGCCCCAGGCATATGGTTAAAGGCCAGTGTGACAGAAATGACATTTGCAGCTGTCAGGGCTATTGTCTCCAGAGCCTCACCAGTGACAGGAACTAATGGACAGCTGGTTTCAGAACTTTCCTTGTTTCACAGGGGAAGCAGGGCATGAGTGACTTCAGGTAGGTGGAAGGCTTGTGTTTGGCAGACTTGGGTGGACCAAGGAAATGCAGGTCCTGCTGAGAACTGCAGGAATTTTGCAGTCACATCCCTGCTTTCCCTTCCCCCTCTGCTGCAAGGCTCCTTATCAGAACCTTTACAGCATTGCTTCTGTCCACAGTGCAAGCAGTTATCTCGCCTTGTTACTTTCACAGGCCACTCCCCAGGGCGATCCCGGGGAAGTGGTGTGCCCGATATCTTCATCCCTTCCTGCATGTGGGGTTCTCCCTACAACTTGCTGCCTCTCCTCCTTCTCACGGCACTCACATGTGCAGGCTGACCAGGTCAGAATTGTCCCAAATGACTTAAAAAG